CACGTACTAGCTAAAAGTTTTACATGTCCCTAAAAAAACAGCTTCAAATGCCGAAGTCTACCGTATTGAGTTAGAAGAATCGATTAGCTGAATGATAGGCGGCAGGCATCTTCTTTTGTTACAGCCATCAAGCAGGAGAACGCCGACAGAATGATTGAATGAGGAAAATCAATAAATAAACCCAAAGACAATGCCCATTGCGCATTGCATGTTTCTAAGTGGATGGATACCTCTTTGATGGTATTGGCCGTTGCCTATGCTATTTGCGCTGGTACGAGAACCGCCACGTTATTTATTTGATAGAAATCTTGGTCAACTTTTACAGAGGCTCAAGCCAAGAAGATGCCATCATTCCGCTCGCCAGCCTGTATGTAATCTCATAGGTTATTTTGATAAATACGTGGTGCACTTTGTGACTTGGTCTTTGTAGAGTGGCGGCTCACATGGCAGCATCTGGCCACTGCACGTTTTGTCGCCCTCATTCAGATTGTCGTGCGTGGGTTAATAATTGTGGTCAAGACGGTGTCACCGCATAGATGAATTGAAGACCAAGTTGACATGGGCGGCCTATATTACGTCTTGCTGGAGCCGAGCCGAGCTTATAACAATCTGCTCAGGTGGTGGTGAAAGTTTTCATGCCAGGTACGTAGGCAGATAGCAGGTAAATGTAGGTAGGTAGGCAGCCTGGAGGAGCGCACCACTGTTGACTGATGAGTGCTACCGGTACCTACTACTGTGTACGCAGTAGGTAGGGTGTGGAGACACAGATATACGGTCTGTGACATAAGGTCTTTTAGCCTCCAATGGCACTGGCAGGCGACCCTCCACCATGCCAGGCATGCTTGAAGCCCGTCCACCAGGACCAGAACTAACACACTTTTAATTGAGGGGGAGAAGAGCGATACCCGACACAACACGTGGGCATCCATGACCTTCATGCAATCAACAAGGATTGGCAGAAAGAGGAGCCCACAAGCGGGGGCCTTGTTTTCCAGAAAAGCTCTTCGGTGTTTCCTGATGAAATCTACAAGCTAGATAGATACGAGAATATACTACTTCGTATGCACCTCACACAGAAAGAGTGCCATAGGATCAATTCATGTACGTACTATCATGTATTTGCGGCAGCCAGGCCTCGCTCGTTGTCGCTCACACCCAGGCACCAGCTCTGATGTTTAATCACCGGAGATCTTGTCTTGCTTGCTGGAGCCAGTACATCTTTGTTGGCGTGAGCCGCTATTTCTTGTCTCTGTCTCGGTTTAGGTGCCAATGCGTAGTGAAAATCCCTACTCACGATTTGACATATATACATGTGCCGCCCGATTCATCCGTGAACCGAGTAGCTTGGATGAACGTTGAATGTAGGTAGGCTGTACCTAGTGTGCCTGGTATTCAGTGGGGGTTATTCTTCTTCTCTTTTTTTTTCCTTCTCGAGATCAAAAGATAGGGGGAAAGAGACTAGAGTCCACACTTCTAGATGCCAAGAACTTCAAGACGTATTTTTTTCTTTAAACCATCATCAAACCTTTCAAACTTGCAGAAATGGATTTCATTGTGAGAGAAACCAGGCCACGATAAGCATATTCAGTCCCGGTTTTTTGGGCCAACAAACGTAACATGTTATGCTTCTTTCAGTTGGTCATTATGTTCATGTTCACACTTGATTTAGTAAACCGAGGCATGCCATGGTAAGTCCAAAGAAGAAGAGAAATGGGAAGGGAAGAGAAAAAAATAGATTAGCGGACACAGACAATGTGCTGAACTAGCGGACAGGCTCAATCCGTTGTCTCGGGTCGGCTAGTCTTGTTAGAGCGATGGTCCATCGGCGCTTTCTCATTTGACAGATGCTCGGGATGCGAAGGCCCCTTACCGCCCCGCTAGAGCTTGCCTACCCTGACCTCTCGCTTCGCGTAGGTATCTACGTAGGTAGCTAGTAAGCCGTGTACCTAATGTACGGCTGCCTACCCGCCGACAGCACACGTGGTAGGCAGCTACTTCGTACCTCTAGTCAAGTTTTGGAGATACTCTAAGAGCCTATGTATATAATAGGTATGATTTCACCATCTCTAGCAAGGCATTTGATTGAAATCATGAGTCTTCATTGATACTAAAAAGTGGACGTCCTCGAATGTCACAATAGAAGCAACCGATGTGTACTTAGTTCGTGATGTATTTTACAGGGACTTCTGCAAAATATCAACAAAACGGACCATGTTAATGAGATCATTGAAAACCAAGAACCTTTGCTTACCGGCTGTCCTATGCAATCAGGCAGAAATACACTACGTAGGTAATGTAGAGAAATGCTGGTGGCAATGTGTCATTGCTAATGCGCAGTCTTGTTCGCTATAAAGGTCATGACAAGAACTCGGTTTGATTTCGCATCAACCGCAGAGTGATGTGCAACTTGGTACCTGACTGTGAAGTGTTAGGTGCCTACCTGCTACATGGGCTGTGTCATCAGCTCACAATTGGGCATAGCTCATCGCCGTAACCGCCACTGCCATCATTGCTATCCGTGCTCCCTACCGTGGCAAGATGATGGTAAATTCGGCCAGCATTCAACATGAGGACGAAAATGTCACCAAATAGTGTTCTCTGCTCTTGGCGTCAACGACTCTTGTACTACAAAAATTTCCAGAGATACCTACTTAAGGTTAGATGGGTCTTTTCATCATGCGATGATTGACATTTCTCTGCCCGGCTGCCCGTGGGCCTGGCTTCGAATCCTTCTCGAAGCCATGGCCATGACTCGCAATAGGCGTGGGGACCGGATCTTGCTGTATCGTACTATGACAAGCCTACCTACATGAGTAGGTAGCGTGTTGACACTTACCTACCTAGGTAGTGGAATATCAGTAAGCAGAGTGCCTTTTTTAAGACTAACACACCGGGCCCGCAGTCTGGCAGAGAAACATCAAAGTACTTTAACAATTTGGCGCGGTGATTGCTCAGCGTCCGCTCACCGGTCCAGTGGTCCAGAGTACTAGTCGATGTAACCTGTTACCGAGCTTGGCAATCGCGTTGTCTTGGCCACTTTCTATGGATAACCTTTCACCAATCAAGACCTGGCTCCAAATGCGCGCTGCGGCTCATCCCTCGTTTGCGATTTTCTACATAGTACATTACACTACTAGGTAATGGCTGATCATGTCATAGCGGGAAGACACGCGCTGGTTTCTTTAGCTTCATGGAAAAAGGTGAACGAGGTCAGGTATTGTTCGCCAGGTTCCTGGCTATTCTGAGGTAAATGCACAAACGTCAGCAGGGGGTCGGGGTTTATGCCCCTGGTCGCCTTATGCAGTTTGTGACACGATTCCACCCAAGCAAGGACCACTATTGCCCTTTGCGCTCACCACCAGTAACAACGAGAGTCTGCAGCCGTACAGGCCTCCTGCGGTATTGCGGCGGTCTCTACTACCGCACACCCCATGAAGCCCATGACCCATCGCAAGGCGACGGAATTGTCAAGGGGTCGTTCGGCATTGTCTTCACCACGAGCTCCTGGGCTCTCCACTACTAATTGTGTTCAATGCCAATGCATTGATCGACACCTGGGCATGGACGCTGGTCCGGACATGCCCGCGACACGGAATTATTTTTTTTCTCACTCTCTGATACTTTGACAAGCGGGGACTTGGGCGGCAGCCCGCATGAGAGCAAGTCATCTGACTTGGCAGCAGGCAGTCATGGCGCTGAACTCGCCTCAGGCGGTGTCGACAGCGTTCCCAGTATTCTGGTCGATCTGTTGATCGAGTGGTCCACGAAGCAGATTCGACTTCCGAAGTTTGCGGCAAGTCGCGTGCAACCCCCCATCGAATTCCTTTGCTTGTAAAGCATGTGGTCTCATGTACCTTGAATTGTATAAAGATCGCATAACCACCTGCCATGGCTCAACGTCAGGGTCGTAGGCTGGCACGGATGATCACAACGTCGCATCGGGCGGATCCTTCGTTCGTCCCTGAACGGCGGGGTCACCGACGGCGGCCCCAGCAGATTCTTCCTACGCTTCGCTAACCTTTCGTTTCCACTCAGCATGTCAGGTACCGCGCTTTTGCCACAAGCGGACGCACTTGGTAGTCAGCGCCATCTAGGAACGCCTCTTCATCATTTGATAGCTGATGCAATTTCGTGTTGGCTGCACCTACTAGTCACTTAGGGGGCAGAAACCCTCAAAATCTCGAAAATCAGAAACTGAAAGGGATAAAATCTTGTTCGCAGTGTAGCTGATTATATATTTAACAAATTCCGAGTCATACAAGCCACTCTGGATTTCCTAAACTGAAACATCCGGGAAATCCGTTGGCCATTGCACATGCCGCTGGACCAATAGAACTCTTCAACGCCATCTAGAATACAATGAGCATTATTGGTGGTCAATAAGTGTTTGACTGATGTGGCGAGCCCCCTTCTAACAACGTGGTGTTGCACTGACGGGTAAAATCACTGAACGAGTTGCATTCGTCTCGAAATATTTCACCGTGTCATGGCAATTGTAATCAGTTTTATGAGCGCACTGCCAATGCCCTTTTCAAAGTGGTCTAGAACAACACCTTCCGTTCAACGAAATTCACTTAGCCCAAGCAGCTGCATAAGATGGACGTGTAGCAAGACCCGTTAGGGCTGAAAATGTGTCCGTATCACTGATGTATTCTATGCATTGCTTTTTAGATATATTAGGCGTCCACTGGGCATACATGTATTAATATGTGTGTGTCGAGGTATGCCAGTCTTCATTAGTATGATGCCACGACCAAGATGTCATGGTAAGAGATACTGGAGCAGAATATCAATGTGTCATTGCTTTCCAATTCCGTCTGCTCGAGTTCCGTTATCTGCTAGTCATACAGCTATGCTCCTTGAAAGGCACATAACAAGAATGATATCATCTAGAACGCTACACATGATCGCGTATAGTTAATAACAACGATGATCAAAAATTTTACGGCTACGTTGTGGGCTTCTTCATCATCCGAGAAGCGCCGAGATCGTATACCAGCTCACCACTCGAGCTCCACCATTTCAGAGGCAGGCATCGCTGAACATGTCAGAATGGTCCCGTCCGGCTGGATCCCCCCATTAACGGATCCACAAGTAACTCTGCCGGCACAACTCCCACAAGCTCCGACCCGGCAGCCGTAGTCCGGCTTCAATCCTACGGACTCTGCCAGCTCCAGAATAGACTGCGGTTTGTCTTGGCTCCAATTCGCACAGAGGCCAGATTTGGAGAAGCGCACTTTTGCTGTCTTCAGTTCACCTGTGGCGGCGCCGGCTCGTGAGAATGATTCGCTCTTGATCATGGGAGCTGGAATTTGGGCGCTCTTCAGACATTCCTTGATCAACGACTCAAAGGCCGCCGGTCCGCATATGTGATATGTCGACATCTTTGCGTCCAATATCAATATTTTATCACTGAGGGGGGCCCAATGATAAGGAGCACCCAGAATTCGAGTCATAGTGGCAGCATCAGGCCGCCCAGTATAGTCGTAGTCAAGGCCTCTCCTGTCTGACTCCAAGGGGTCTGTGAAGAACAAGTGTCGCGTGAAACGATGGTCCAACTTTGAAAGTTCACCACTAAAATTGAGGGCGCTGCTGTCTTTGGTCACGTGGACCCAAGCGGCTGGCGTCTTTCTGTACTTCGGATGGATGGAATGTGCCTTCATCATTGCAAGCATCGGCGTGATCCCGATTCCCGCAGACACGTAAACCTGCCGGAACGGTAATTCCTGTGTCCAATCGAGAAAGAATTGGCCCGCGGGAGACCGCGAAGAAAGGATGGAGCCAACCTTGCATTGCTCGTGCATCCACAAAGATGCCTCATTAACTTTGCTGATGCTGATTCTGTAATAGGTTGGGCTATCGCGCACTGGGAAATCCGAGATGGTCCAGTTGCGTATTCTCCTGTCCGGGAGTTGAATTGAGAGAAATTGACCAGGCAGGTAGTTTGCCAACGGTACTCCGTCCAAGGGTCTGAGGTAGAATGACTTGACTTTATTCCCTTCCTCCGCCACCCGAAAGACCTCCAGATCTCGCCATCCTTTCCAGGCAGCCTTTCCACGATTGAGCTGGTCTCTTGCGATATTTGCTTCATGATCATAAATAGTCTGTTCATTCGTAGAAGTAGTTCGTGATTGGCAAGAATGTTTAGTGTATCTCTGGTTTTGAGAGATGTGTCGAATGCAACTTGGGTGATGGCGGCTACATTCATAGTATCGTGTGAAGAGGATTCCAAAAAGGCATGATCACCTGAGTGAATCCGACCTCCTTGCAGCACGCGCAAGTAGACTCCTACGCGCCCAGTGTCTGCCAATGGCTTCAGCCACTGATCTTTCTGGCCACATCTCCAAGCCAGCTTGGAGCAGGGGATACGTGAGCCGCAGACCTCGAGCCTTACGGATGTACCGATTTTCCATACATCACCAAGGTGAATGTCATCTTCAAGAAAAACCCGTTCCTTGTGCCTGAATGTAATATTCTCTCCCCAGTGGCACCTGCATTCGAGTTAGACCGCGCAACACTCTCCCGTGGATATGTGCGTACCAGTCCCATGATGGACGATCAACGCCAAGTTTAGAGCACCAATAGTCGTAATTCTCTGCAAAGAATGCATACACGGGTCCGTCATGAGCAGCTGTCTCATTCCCTACCACGCCGTTGTCATATAGTTCAATGGAGTCGTTTTTTGAAGTCAAAGGATCATGAATGATGGAAGTAGAAATCTTCATCCCACGCAACTCATACTCTTTAGGAATCGAGCGACTGACAGCGAGTACTTCCATGACACCCAAAAAGATTGATTGTTTTGATGTTCAATGATGAATTGCAGAAAACAACACAACACAACCGTGACAGGAAGAGATTCCTTTTAATATCAGCTTTTCACCAAGTATAATACTATCTCCCGGGCTTCGGACTCGGCGCCGGAGAAGACTCTCGGCTTCGGCGAATTGTTGGGTCTATTTTAGCGAGCACTCTAATAAGTGGTGGATCGAACGAAGTATGCAGTCATGGCTTCCACTCACTCGGAAGGATACCTCGTGATCAATCTATAACTTTGTAGTAATCTGACTTGGGGGACCAGGCTGGCGAAGGCTTTTCTCGAGGGATGTACGTACAGTCGCTCCGGTTGGGTGGTGCGTATCTCCTGCCCGATATCTTATGCAGCGCATGACTTGATGTGCCGTCAATAGTAGCAATAAAGTGCCCAGTGAACATCATAAAGCGCCAGTTAGTAGGGTTGCGCGTTAAATTGATAAGGAGTGTCATATTATGCGGCAATACAGGATTTCCAGCAAACCTTTATGATTCATAGCCCCCAAGTGGCAGATAGTGATCAGAGGTCATGATCGTTACGAACACCTCTTCGATGCAACGACTCAATGTCTTGAATGTGGCATCGTCCTCTATCAAAAAGGCTGAACGCGACCGCTGCTGTGAACCACTTTACCGACATCCTCATCCTTTAAGCCCTCCACTACATCCTTGATGAAGACGCCACCGACACTTGGATGGCCAGCGCCTCTCGACTTCAGCAATTCGGGTTCATTGCCCAGGCCGGTAGCCAGGAAACCGGGTGAAACACACCATGTCTTGACGCCATCCTCTGTCAATCTCCAAGCCCAGTTAACCATCATCATATTGAGCGCCGTCTTGCTAGACCGATACGCCATAGTATCAAAATCGAAGCTCTTGGGCCATCCTGCCTTTGGTGGGTTCGGGTTTGGATAGAATTTCTCACTTGTCTGTTGCAGACTCGACAGACCGCTGGTCACAAATAGGAGCCGGGGGTCTGATGATTCAAGGAGCAGTGGCATGAATACGTGCGTCATGATATGGGTTCCGGAGACATTGATATCGAAGGCTTTGTTCCATGATTCCCGCAAGGTAATACCGCCCTGCTTGTACTCCCAGTCGAACGAACCGCCTCAAGAGCCATTAACTTGGTTCCCCAGTATACGCATGAGGTTGAGCATGACCTACCGGCATTATTGACCAGTGCATCTACGCGATTGAAAGAAGCCTTGACATAGTCAAATGCCTTTTGAATAGATTGGTCGCTGGCAATATCCAACTGCACCACATCGACGGTATTGGTAGTGCCCGGGACTTCCGACTTCACCTTTTCAATTGCAGCTCTTGCCTTATCGATGGATCGGCTGCCCATCAAGATGTGATATGGCCTGTCAGACTGAAGAAAAGCCTTCACAGCCTCATAACCAATGCCGGTATTGCCGCCTGTAATAAGCACGATTCGTTGATCAGTCATGTTTGTGAGGGAAGCTGTCATGTGGTTCTCCAAGGTTGAGAAAATGTGAAGTATGAGGAGTGTAGAAGAATGGCGGAGTGCTGACTTTACCCTTATTTTTGTCTCCAACAGCGATAACACCCAAGGTCGCTTCAGTAGGCCCGTTTGTCTAACGGATGGCTGCTCCCGACGCATTGGTGGGTCGCTCTGAAGATGGTGATTCGCGTACCTTTTGATTCCGCATACTCGTCTTTCACTCCGCTGGCCAGCAGTCACATTCTACCAAGGCGTAAAATTCATGTTTTCCCAAGTGCAGGCTACATATAAGACGATACCTTCCGGTTGGGGTTGCGTTAAAACATCTTCTCTACTTGCAATGTTTAGTTGAGCTGCTCGCAACTCTGCTGCAAGCTGCTGTACCACGTGAGCTCGATTCCAGAATGTTGCCTTGCTGATGATTAGCTGGCAGTTATGGGAGTCTGCAAGCGTATGACTGCCCACCAGGACAGTGATCTTATTCCCAACTGTTCGGCACACCGAGGGGGTCGACTGGCAACATATTTCAACAGATTGTTGAATATGAACATGCTACATATCCAAGGCCTTGCCTTTCGTTACACCTGTTCCCGCGCCAACTCGGAGGACCTTCAAACTGCGGTATCGATCAAGACTGAACTCGAACCGTCGAAATCGTTGCCAGTACAGTTGACAGCCAAACCTATATACACGTGATATGTGATAAGCAACCTTCATTGATGCCTTGGGGTGCAAAAAGCAAGACAGGGAAAAAAAAAAAAAAAAAAACAAGGCCAACTCATATACAGCCAAGTCATCAGCGTAGCGATCGGGCAACTGTTGACGGGACCCTGAAGGCCTCGGATATAGCTCTGTCGCTCGACTCAATTTGTCCCTCTCACGTCTGCAGCAGGGTGTGTGACAGAGTTGAGATCTGCACACATGAATCAATGGCTGGTTTGTGTCAAATTCGCAACAAGTGGAATGGCCTGCGACTGGGGCAATCGAGTCAACCGAAAGTCCTTGGTTATAGAGATTTCCTCGTATCATATGACCTGTTCACTGCTCTATCTGGGCCAAATTGCATCACAAGTCTGACTCTCTCTCTTGGAACCGAAAGAGGTCAGTGTTGTCCTTCGTGAGGAAAAGCTGGCCCTGCAGTAGCGACTTGGGTAATGTACCTAGCGATCGTGATCCCTAGGTCCTTAATATTTTTTTTCTTTTTTTCGACGTGGAGTTGCTGTTTCAACCTCGTGTCGAGGTATGTTGGCTTCCCGTGCCTAGCGCAGCATTTCTCTCCCCCCCCGAACTGACATTTCTAGCGTCGTCTGGGTTTGAACCTTCCTGCGTACCATCCTCCAAGCAGGTGCGTCACAATCCACGACCGGCTTGGAGGAGAGAGCTCAACCCTTGAAAGTAGAAAAATTTTCGACAGCGGTCGCTCCACACAAAAAATAATAGGGATCTGTCGCGTGGCCGTCACCGGAGGGCCGAGGGAGAAGCATTTCGCGGTCTTCGGCGTTCAAAGGCGATCCTTGTTGCCTGCCCCCCTGTGGCTCTTGCATCGGCCCAGTCCGAAGAATCTTCAAGCCCTGATCTCTAACGTTCAGTCGCCTGCATGTTTTTCGTACTGCCCGTAAAATGTCTAGGAAGGTATCCTTCCGACCGAGTAAAGGTTTTGAATAACTTCTTATTGTCAGGGCCGAGTACGTTTGCAAGACTTCTTCCAATTCAGCTCGAAAGCTTCATCCAAGCCCTGCTTTGCCACGTGCAGCCGGCTGACCGGTAAGGCGCGTAATAAGTTGGCCTGGCTGCAGCCATTCCGTCAAGGGGACCAGTATCGATCACCGCGACCGAGTCAATATGCACATGGTTTTTTCGTAAATATAGTGGCATCTTTTCGCCACTGCTTCAGGGGCACCGCCACGTGTTTTGGACAGCTGAAGTTAGGGGCAAAAAAACAGCTGAAAGCGTTAGCGTAGCGTTATTCTTTTGGAAGCTTTACCCTTGACTCCGGCTGCACTGATCAACCTTGCATCTGTTGCCAAACGAATCTCCATTGGCGAAGCGGAGGGAAGCTACAGGCAGGTTTCTCCTTTAGAAAACCAATCAACCTTGACATTTTCTGACATGAACAAACAACATCTACTGGGTCAGTAAGCACTTATATAACCTCACCGGCATGCTCTATGGCAGAGAGTATATAGAAAAGAAAACAAATGAGCTCAAGTGGAGCCTTTTTTGCACATCACGCAACGCCTGGGACAGACTCCACTGAAACCGGGCTGAATTCCGACAAAATTTACTGACCTCGGGAATGTGGCAGCGAGTCAGCGGCTCCATTAAGGTATCCTCTAGTGACCGTTGAGCCAACCACAGTCGGCCTTGTCCCGACAGCTTGGGCAGTCTATGGGGACTGGAACTGCACAACTTGACTCGTAACACGCGAAACGTCTTCAATTTTAATAACCAGGCGAGTCGCGCGTAATTACGCGCATCCACGGTTGCGCACGCCTTTGGGCATGGGCTGAATCGTGACCGACAGTTTCTTCGTTCGAGAACTGCTCTCATGGGGTCGTATTTCACCCCTAGAAAAGTTGTGTGTTTGTCTTTGGCGCCGGAGTGGAAAGATGTCCCATGAGAGGAGGAGGAGGATAGAGGCCAAACAACTTCATCGTGGGCCGGACCGGCACTTCTCCGCTCCGCATCATGTCTACTACAGATATGAAGTCGTCGCTGCATCGTTTCCGTGTGACGAGCCGGGCGTCTCCATCGTCCCAGAGCGATCCCTCCTCAATGTCCGACCGGCCGCCGTCCGAGGGTGGATCTGAGAAGCCACTGCAACTTTCGTCCGCAGCCAAGCCGAGTCACATACCAGCATGCGACAGGTAAGTGTAATTTATCTGGCTTAGGCCTCTTGTCATCTCCTCTCCGGTACTTGGCATCGGCAGTTAACCCTCCGCAAGATGTCGAAACTTCAAGAAGAAATGTAGTCGGACGTTTCCCGTCTGTTCACTCTGCGCCAGTGCCGGAACGAAGTGTTCCTTTTCCACACCGGCGTCGTCCTCGGATGCGCAGACACACCACTTGAGGGCGCGCGTGGAATGGCTCACGACTTACTTCAACCAAGCGCTGCCGCTTGGCGCCCCTGCCATTGAGACGATTGAGACGGGTGCAGACTTGACTGAACTTGTTCAATGGATCGCAAACACTGCAGCACTGTCTCAGGGACAGTCACCCGGATCGGCTATTTCCAGCTCTCAAAATGTTCTGCTCCAAGGCAACCAGCTCATGGTTGATCATCGAAATCTCGATCCCGGCATCGATGGACAACCCCGGAGGCACTCTTCCGCGCACCAGCCTGTCATTCATCAATCTACAGAGCCATTTGGCAGAACGTCGCATTCAGCAGCAGCAGACGGTGGCCACGTTATAAATCAAAGATTACCGCCAAATGCAGCAGCTCGGAGGTTTGTTGACGCCTATTTCCGCAACGTGAACCGGGCGTATCCCTTTGTCGACAGGAACAAGGTTCTCAATGACCTGGAAACACTGGGCGACTTCCCCAAGCGCAATCAAGATGCCGACTCCACCTTGCTGTACTTGATCATGGCCATCGGATGTACGACACTGCAGCGCGCGGGCCAGATTCCCGCCGACATGAGTTCCAAGTTCGATGTAAGTTATCCAGACATTATCCAAGAATGCCTATCTCGAGAAGGCATAGAGTCGATACAAATACTTGTTCTCCTCTCGCTTTACTCGCTTTTTGATCCAACAGCGCCATCGGCATGGTCGCTAGTGGGCATAGCGGCACGCCAGGCCATGCTTTTTGGCCTTACGCGCCGAACCCCAGAAGGACGGTCAATATCTCCTACCGAGGTCGAATTACGGCACCGTCTCCTCTGGTCTGTATACGTCTTGGACAGAATGATGGCGACGTCCCTCGGGCTCCCAGCTGCTCTGACAGACGAGAACTTGGATGTCCCCCTTCCCGGGCTGACAGTCGACGAATTTGCATCCCCTGAGCGATCCCAATTTGCCAGCATCCTTCAGACGAGCCGCCACGTCATCATGCTTCGCCAGATCGAGGGGAGGATTTTGGATCAAGTTCATCTGCTCAAGCAGTCCAAAATTAGCACACTGAACCACGCAGACCGCCGATCGATCGTGCAGGACATAAGAGCGGACATTGAAAACTGGTACAGCAATGGGTGCCTCGTCTCGCCGTTGGAACCGGACAATGTCCCGATTCACAACTCTATTACGTGGCTGAGCGCAAGATACTACTACCTGCTCGTTCTGCTGTATTACCCATCACATTTCAACTCGGCTGGTTCCGTAGTATCCAAGGCAGAAGTACTCCGGTTCGCGCAGAAACACGTCCAATCCACATCAGTGCTTTTCCAGCAGCGTCAGCTACCGCTGAACCGGGTAACGCTGTTTCGGACATTCCCGGTTGGAATGGTGCTCATCCACGGCTTTGTGGCATGTGCGGCCGAATGTGCTCCTTATCCAGCACGCGAAGAAGTGACCATGTTGATAAACATACTGGAAGCCTTTTCAGATGGATGGATCTATGCGCGCCAAGCATCTCAAATACTGCGGCAGTTTATCACCATAGTCAACAGTGGCCCGGGAGACTACCTGCAGTTTCCAAATAATGCCTTTGTCGGCGGCCAGATGAGCAATTCTAGAGAATCAGCTTTGATCAGCATGGTCCGACCGATGGTCACGAGTTTTACAGAGCTGATGCAGGAAGCACTCGGACGAATTACGTGCTACTCCATGTTGGAGGTCACAGAAGAGCGGCCAAGCGGAAGAATGGGATCTTTTGCTTCGCATTCCAGCGCCAACGGAACTGGTCGAGGGTCAATGGCGAGCGTTTCAGGGGTGGCGGGTGGGGACGGGTCAGAAATGGATTACGGATGGTCTGCTGAACCGATAGATGTAGACTTTCTATAGATTATGAATAGACGATTAACGAACATTGCTACTCTCGGCCATATTCATTTTCTGGGTGAGCATGATAGGAATCAATCAGTCTTTACTATTTGTAAATAATACCAGGGTATGGTGCTCAAGTAGGTCTCTGGGAAGATGGACAATCGAGATGGGGATTTGCTAATACATAATATATTGATTGGTAGGTAGGTATAAAACAAATTCTGGAGTCTAGCTGTCGAGGATGTGGTACGGAGGATCTTCCACACTGCGATGTGACCCTCAAATTTAGTGGCACTTTGGCGGGGTCACTTATGCCTGCGCATCAGTATTGTAGGAAGGTCCACCGGTACGCTCAAGTGCTAAATATTTACTCCCCCACCCAAAATACACGGCCCAATTAGGAGGTATGTACCTGGCAGGCTGCAAACCCAGATATTCACCTCCAGCGTCAGGCTTTACTGAGAGTAGATTGCGACCTTCAGACATAAGCCACCATTGTTCGTACTACCTGAAAGCCCAGCCTCCCAGTTTCCGGCGTCCTTATTTTGGGGCTCTGGTCGCTTGTTGTTGATTGCATCCAACCGGAGAGGTGCAAAGATTTGAGACTCGGAACATGAGTTCCTCAACAGAACGCTACACTGCCCTCGTCGACTGGGTTCGTGAGGGTGGAGGTCGTTTGCATGATGGGGTTGAGATTGCCCAATTTCATGGCATGAGGGGTTCTTTTCGCGCCAGAGAGAATGTACGTGGCTGAGGGACAAGCAGGAAATCTTTGGAGGATCAGCGTACAGCAGCAAACACTGCTGAAAATTATGAGCACTTCCAAGATCTCATAGACATGCAGGATTTTCTCAACAAGTAGAGACTAATGATGCTGCACAGGTCAAAAAAGGCGATGTCATCGTGGCTCTACCCCTCTCAAAGACATTGTCATATCTCAATGCCATCAGCAACCACCCCGAAGTTCCCAACTTCTCTCATGAGACCTTCACGCCGCCATCCAACACGACCTTCTTCCCAGGAGATTTCATCAACTCGGTACCTCCACATGTGATTGGTCGCTTTGTCCTCATGTAGGTCCGGGAGACAATCCAGCTAATACACTTGTTGTTTTTATCATGCTCTAGAACATTGGCTGATCTACAAAGGCAACAATATCTGTTGGGCAACAAGTCAGAATGGTGGCCATATATAGCTGCCCTTCCGCAGCCAGAGCACATTGGAGGCATGCTACCAGCTCTTTGGCCCGAGGTAAGCTGCGGTTACCCTGTTGGTACATCGTCAAATACTGATCCAGGTTCCTGCAGGACGATGTCGACTTCCTTCAGGGCACCAATGCCTATGTCGCCGTTCAAGAGATCAAGGCAACTCTCAAGAAGGAGTACAAGGACGCCATGAAGTTGCTACCAGAGGCGCTTCGCTCTACGTACACAAAGCCGCTCTATCTTTGGTCGTATGCCATCTTTACCAGCAGAAGTTTTCGCCCTTCATTGGTCCTTCCAGAGACTGAATCCATGAAACTGCCATGTGCCATTGATGATTTTTCAGTCCTTCTTCCGCTTTATGATCTGGGAAACCACTCTCCATTTGCCAGGTCGACCTGGAACGCCGACCACGAATCTCAACAGGTCTCACTCGAATGTGGCGAGGCATACGAGGCTGGCCAACAGATCTTCAATGTGCGTCTCACAACCCTTCCGCCCTGCCCTCTCACTCATGTAATGGCTTGATACCCGATGGCGGTGATTAACAGACGACTCAGAACTATGGCATGAAGACCAATGCAGAGCTTCTGCTTGGATACGGCTTCATGCTGCCGGAAACCGACAACTTCCACAACGACTATATTCACATCAAAACAAAAGCCACTAGCGACGACGATTTTGCCGGAACACACATCGTCTCACTACGACCGCTGAGCGATCCCAGCTCAGTTGTCGGGCGTTCACGCCGCCTCACATCTCCAGACGTCAAAGTTGTGCCTGAATTTTCTCATATTCAGGATTCCTTGGTATCGAGTCTGTACGACGCTATTACGGCCGCTTCAAGCGACGGTGATGCAGACAGCTTATCCATGGACGATATCATGGCTGGAAACTTGCCTAAAGCCATCCACGAGAGGATCGTTCAAGCACTTGGGTCGAAACTTACCTTTGACCTGGACACCTTGGAGGAAATCGAGGTGCCGAGGGAGGATCTCAACTCGAACCAGCAGATTGCGGTTCAGTATCGTGATCAGTGCCAATCTGTCTTTGAGAATGCGCTTAGAAGTTTGACCCGTGCCATGGCTACAGAGTGAGCACATATTGCCCAATCAATGTGCAGGTGCGTCTTTCTGAGCGTCCATTGGGTCCGTAACAGCGGCTGCTGTGTTGATATTTCGCAAGAGGGACAAATATCCTGCCTGGCCACTCACAGATTGTCTAGTTTGATTGGAGAATCAAGCGGCTTGCGGCCTCTAGCAAGTCTGTTAGAGTGTATGGGATACTTTGGGGGGAAATAAACGAACTCCCTTGATTAACCTTTGGAAAGAATTGCTGTGATTTTGCAATTTGTGCTTGGATATGTTTGTCATATATCACACCAATCGTCCTGGTGACCTCAAGGGCGGCGGCGTAACTGCAGGTGGGAAACTCAGAGTACAGAAGATCAACTCCTTTCCTTAATTCAAGGGTATCGTTGCGGCCTACTTTGCTGCCGTATTTTCCACTAAGTAACGCCAATCCTGATGCACTGCAATCCCATTCAATTCCTGATACACTTAAATCCGACATGTAAGCTTTTGAGGCCAGATTGAAAAAGCCCCTTTCCATGACCTCGAGTCACTCTGATTCATTCAGTGATGTTTCGACCCAATCTTGTGCTCTCGAGCCCGGCTCGACTCTTTCAATACGGCCTCCACATCGCCCGGCAGAGCGTGCAAGTCCTCATTCATCAAGTCCAAGCATGTCTTTGATGCTGTATGAACGTAGTCAGTGTCTCGAACTCGTATAGGGTTATGAAATAAGCACATGACTTACGCAGTAGAGATCCGGCGTCGCCTAGTTCCAAAGCGGCACTCATTCTTGCAGACTTATAGCAGCCATACAGTTGCTGCAGAGCCAACATGCGCTTCCACAGCTGCTCCGGATTGCCGTCTGTTCCTTCCTCGAGCGTTTTGATCGAATTCCGCCTGCTCTCAAAGCCACTGACAGGCGTGACTGTACCGCTTCCTCCCGGTGAGCTGGGTGGTGATGAGCGGCAGTGCCGCGCAATGGTGCCGGCACTGACATGCGAATCAATAGCAGCGCACGTTGCGCTCGCATTTGTCGGGAGCGGACAAGGAGTTATAGCGTCAATCTCATCAGCAAATTTATTGCTGGATCGTCTTCCGGCTCGAGCCATTGTATCTGCATCCAAAGATGACCGACCAGTTGATAGTCGCAATAACGGGGGAACGCAAGCAGGAAGGTGCGCTCAGGGATGAAAGCAGAGAGCTAGATTGAATCAAGGAGTGGGGGAACTCTTGAATTCCTGAAAATGCACAAGGCGTTTGGCGACAGTAAATATGCTGAGGGAAGAAAAGTTTTCGGTGCGACGCCAAATACCGCTTATAGACGTGATATATTTGGTCATAGTGTCAGCCCCCCTAGCACACCCTGGCATTAGGTGGGATGGTTGTCCTATATACCTGACCAGGGCTGTTACATGCATCAGGTCATTTCCTAAATATACTGCGTGTGAATACTTTGTTTTTATTTTTTTCTTCCTACACTGCTACATCCAAACACCACTGGGAAACCAGGGCGGCCCTGTTTTAGCTTTCCTTTCATCTTACCTCGTGTCATATTTTGTAATTGTTAATTTCTTGTTTTCTTACTCTTCGTACTACGCGACCTTCTTGTCACCCACATCGCAGTATACATGACCTGTTCAAATTTGACCAAGGCGGACCAATCATCTTGGGCCGCGAAGCCGCCACTCGGCGACAACAACCCATGGCTGCCCGAGTCAAGTTTCGCCGACGTGCCGCTTTGTGCCTGTAGAACATGCAGGATCAACGTGAAAGCAACATGCAAACCATGAATCCCATGCTGCAGCCATCCCACTCCACCCAGCGACTACTACTACACTTGGATCGGGCAATTCAAATTTCATGAGCTCATGGTCAAAGGTACCATTCAACGGCGCAGTAAGCGCCATCGAGGGAAGTTCCATTAGATGCTGCCCAAAAAGAGCCCCAACGCCCAAAATAGGGAGGGGGCCAGAGTTGAGACGGACTCAACGACAGCCTACAGGCAGCTCCCGCGGGAGCCAAGCTTTGCAAATGCCCTGACGTTTATTTTGGTGTGTTTCCCATGTAATACAACTCTGCGGCCTTGTCGATCGCCAAGTACCGAAGCCTTCCCACCAACAAGGGTATGCCTGGTCACCGTTCTCGGCTCGCTGATCAATTCTTTTTCGAGGGGTCACTTGCACGAGCTCGTCACTTGTCGTCATGCACCAATATGGTAATGGCTGGTTGGACAGCTATGATATTTAACTTGGGCCAAACCGAGCAGAGAGCATCGTGACGGTATCAAGAAGAAGTTGGACATGCTTCTACCAACTGCCGTTGCTGCTTTGTGGTCCTATCTGACATAATCGCTAAGAAGCATCGAGCATGCAGGATGCATCGCCACGGATGAGCCTCGAAAGAACCCATCACGCCCTTCGTGGGACGCTCAACATAGGAATAACATTTCCTTTAGTTTGATAGTGAGTGCATGGCTCGCATGGGGAGTAAATCAAGGTTTGCAAGCCGTGCATTGCGACAGCAGTCCGGCAGTACCTAATGAGCCTAGGTTAGGGTCAGTCATTGCACATGCCATCCATGAACCCATCCATCTGCGTGCGGCATGCTGAGACTAGATTGAACAGTTAAAATACGCAATCGCCAAAAACCCTTTCGTGTGTTGTCCCATCATACATCCTAGATAGCACCATACCATCGTAGTATTTAGTGCCGGGGTTGGTGCGACTTGTAGTGGTCGTGGCCAGTTTACAGGCTGCAGGGTGCAAAGTGGAGTGCAAGTGATTGAAAATGCCATCGCACGATACTCGTTTGAGTGAGGCCAGGTGATGCATGAAAAAATCGGGAGCAAATCGGGAGCAAATCGGGCAGACCTGATTCACCGCACAAGAAGGATTGATATCTTTTTTCCAATGGCCTCTCAATCACCTCTAGTCGGCAACACTCTTGGTGGGCACACCTCAGATGGAAAATTTTTCTTATCTTTTGTTCCTTTTGGCGGGCACAGGATGTCACGACATTTTTAGAAAAGCCGGTAAGAATCCATACGTCTCAGCCTCTACGAAATAGGTACAAATGGAAAGAAGGGACAGAAAATGATCCCATATCTTCTTACTGTGTCAGCCACTGGGACACATGGCTTCCCATGACAGATAGTAATCTGTGTTGCGATAGACTCTGCTACCGGATATAAGGGGCGATAAGCATCCGGATAGAATAGGTTGCGTTACGCCACCCGCATTACCTATTTGGTGTCAAGGCTCTCGGTCGAGTCATGCTACCATATCACAGCCTATGGGAGCGGCCCGACCCAATTTTCGTTGTGAGTAAAGTGGTATGCATGAGAAAGTTGCGCCGTACTAATTCACTTATTGGCAGATATCCGCGAAAATTTGCAGTTTTTTTCTCCCCCCTTTGCCATCTTCACATGAGTTCCCACTTGGGTGAGAATTAGATATCACATAGTGGCAACTCGGTCAGACGAGATGCTGAATTCAAATGCCGTACGGAATAATCCCGCGCATGGAGTATCTGACGAGAAGTGAGTGGGTGTAGATATCATAGCCATCGTAACCAAATATCCGCGTGATTAGCTGAAGAAGATCCTGTGCCAAGCTCTCGTGTCATCCATTCACTCACCACATGTAATCAAGTACAGGTTCGTCAAGGCAGCTTCCTACTATGAACCTGATCTAGCAATGTTGGGAGGACTGCCCTGAGTGTAGCATTGTCACATCAACAAGAATGATTCAAGGAGCTTGGGGAGTTGACCTAGAATACACACCAAGCAGCCCCCACAGTCCAACATCATGAATACTGCCTGATCAGACAACCGTGCTGCCCTTGAGCACGCGCCGATGCCCAAAGCTGTCTTCGTAGATTTTCCTATATGGATGAATAATCACCCTATCAATGACAGAATATCGAGTTTGGCTAGTTCCAAACAGATACTTCTACAGCATGCTATGGCCGCCCAAGGTTAATGTACCCGCGGCAAATATTGGGTTGGAGATGATATAAACAGCAAACAGAAGTTTCACCGGTCGTGTCACGGGAAGCGAAGATTATACCAGGCTACATCTATCATCATCTGGTACCATTGTACATAATTTCGTGCCACATGAGCTCGGAGCTTGGTTTTGGGTTTTCATTCCTGTTTGAGCCACCCAATCTTGTTCCAGTGGCAGCTCACGGATACTGACCAACAATTCCTTCCAACATCAAATTCCAGTTATCAAGAAGGACCTAATTGGCTGCTGACAGACTGGTCAGCTTCAGTTCTAAGCTGACTAATTGACATTTCCGCTAGGCACTGAGTGTTGAAGATATGCAAATAGTCGCGAATCCTGTGGTGCGATCGAGCAAGTCTGGCTTGTGCAATTTGTAGGTTGGGGTCTTTGTCATGACTTCTTATTAGACCAAAATATGCTCAAAATGGGAAACAGCTACCTATATAGATGACCTAGGCGTATAGCTTCAGTGCTAGGCGTAAAATTGAGCAATTGAGCACGAGACTGTGTGAAGGAAACTATCCAGTCCCAGAGGCATATCGCTTTCCAGAATTGTATGAGTGATACGAGCTACTCGTCATATAGCTGGCGCGAGGTGTATATGACATCGGGGATTCAGGAAATGGACATTTCGCTCACTGAGAAAGATGGCATCATGAATGAATTAGGCACAACGAAGGAACGCATTACCTCGCCAATCTTCTTGTCTCTTGTATGGCCCCTCGCTCGGCCAGACGTGGAGTTTCCTTTAAAGACATACAGTAAACCGCTCATTCTCTTGCATGAATCATACAGGGTTATCTCCCCAAGAACTCCGTGATTCTGCAGACCAACTATGCTAACCAGTTGGCCAATCTACAGTTGAAGTTGAAACAAGTCGGTGAGGGCTACTGTGCTCAACTCCTTGCATGATGGGGTAGGCCGACAGCCAGCTGTACATGAATAAGTTGATTGAATGTTTCTGCCTTTTCAGCATAGCACTAAGCATATATTCTATAGCAAATTCAACCGCAAGAAAGCTGATATGAGTACAAACTTGACAGTACGAAGGTTATTCTTTTCATATACGGTCCTATCAACACATCGATAATGTTTACCAGCTGCTTTTGCTCTTCTTTTCAATCTGTACCTATAAACCTATACTATATAATCCATTAAATTGTGTATGTTTAATTGTGTACACATGATTCGCAATCAATAAATGGACATAATTGCTGTTGATTCCTACACGAGCTGGTGCTACTTGCTAAAGCAACCCGCGGCTGTGTACACCTCTTCAATAGTAATCGCACTGCCATATCGCATGCTTGGCTCGGGCCCAGTCACTAGCATTGGGCCAAAGATTTTGAGGTTTGCATCATCGTCCATCGTCAACACAATATCTGATTCGCTCTCGGCAGATGACGGTAACCAAATGGGAGCCAGTTTCACTGCTGCCTTTGAGCAGCAGTATCGAGGCGCAAGGTCAGCATAACGCATTTGATACGTTTTGTTAAGCTACCACCATGTATCTAAAGCATCTTCTTGTCTCTTCCATAACTTCTGGGAACGCAACCAAATATAGGAGTCATTTCCATTCGATTTTATCAATGACATTCCCCTCGAATCATTGGATGTCGAATACAATGGCACTGGTTGATTTGACTTTTGCGTTTCCTTTTACATACGCATATCGATTCTGATGCGTGTTGATCCGTCGGTGCTTGCGGGGGGAAAAAAAAAAGCTTTAGATTCTCTGTGATTCCCGAACGAGACGGTGCCATCCAGTTTTTATCCAAGCAAAGCGTAGGCTGCTGCGAGTAGAGGTATCTTCACGTGCCATACGTATTGCTTGCGAATCGTAGTAGCCTGCCCCAGCACCGGCAAAAGTGTCGCGGTCGCATTGGGATGTATTGCTCCAGTCCCCGTACTGGCGATGGTGCTGGTGAGATTGGAGAAACCAGATGTTGAGGTAACGTCCCCGGTTTGGCTCAACACTGTCTGTGTTGTTGTAATCCGGTCCGTCTGTGTTACAGTCACATTGTTGATGATGGAGATGACGATAACTTCTGTGGTGACTTCGGCGGTGGCTTGAGTCTGGCGGACCTTTAGTGAAGAGCACATCATCTTAAGAATCCTAGCGCCGAGCTTACGATGATGCCAAAAGTCAGTGCAAGCAAGATCGCCATGGAGAGACGAAATATCATATCTGCGGTCGCTTGCAGCGTTCTCGAACACTATTTGAGGCGGTGGCGGCTAAGCTTGTGCATTCGATTCTGGCAAAGAGCTCAATGAATCGAGAGGGGCCGGGATGAGGATATTATGGCGCAACCAAGTATTCAGGGCGTGGGAATATGGTCGCTAGTTGAATAGTATCATCGGTTTTGTCGTGCTGTGTATTCTGACCTACTGACACTTGCTGATGGATGTGTAGATCTCCCTTGGGATTCGACAGGTCTTGCCCTGTGATAGATACACACTTAGCGAGCACTGCGCGGTATATAGAGTCGACTATCAAGGTCCGTTGGATTTACGATTTTCCGGTTCACGAGGAGAGTATAACAAGAGAGAAATTCTCAGAGAGATTTGAATGATAATGGGCATTATGTCACTTACACATCATTCGATGCGACCAATTCAATAGCAAACTTGTTGCAACGCAAACTTTTGAGACGGTATCCAGAATGGCAGGTGATCCTTGTTGACAGCGTCGTGATAGTAGATCTGAGACCGGGACGGGCAAATGGACATGGACTGGTAATTTTCAAGTGAACCGGACGACTGCTCTGCTTTGGGTACGTTCAAAACCCCGGGCCACGAATTTGCAATACAAACAAATGGTAAGCTGAAACTGCGAGGCCGACACAGTGGAGTTAACAACCCGTGAATAGCTCAGCCTAGGCGTTACGCAGGGACTTTGGTAGAGAGGCTATACGCGTTGTCTGAAACTGGAAAGGTCGCATCACCTGGCCATCCAATTTCAGCCTGTGCGGCTAAGTCCAAGCTGAAGGATTTCTCATCGAATACAATCACTCGTCCTGGGCCAGTGAGGTTTTCTTCTGCTTTTTCTTCTGCCTCTGTCTGCTCCTTTCCCCTTCTCCCTGATTGAGGAGCATCGAGGGGGTCGATCATTCTAGATAGATGCATAGTCTCATTGGTGGTATCCTCGATGAATACATTACAACATTCAGCGGAATGTATATGCGAGTCAAACAGGCTCGTGTATTGTACCTCGAGAGATTGTTGTTTAACAAGAGAACCAAGTATGCAAGGAACTCTCTTCATGTGAACATGCATTCCTGGTCCGCTGCACAATAGGTGACAACTGAAAGTAACTGGAAACACCAAGTCAGGAATGTAGATACAGAGATTCGAGCAGGTCTATTAGCACTATCAATGCTATCCTAGTAAACATGCACCACCTGCTGATCACTATATTTGGTGATCACAGGCGGCACGCCAACTAAGCGTCGGTAGCATTCCAAGAAAGCCATCCAACGATTACCTTGCGGCAGACCTGCACTACGAATCAATGAAGTACCCCCAGAAAGTGCGTGTCCATGAGTGTCCATGTCGGACTGAGTTCAAAATATAAGTCAAATGGCGACCAATGATTCAGCATAAGGGGGGACTGAACCCAATGCGCTCTTGCCAAATTAAGTAATGCCGAAATTGCGAGCAAGTCTGTCGCTGATGCGTGTCTAAGTTATGCTTCCATACACCGAGATGATGATGTCCTGTTGAGAAATGTTTGCAGTCTTGGAAATTGTGCGAAATGGCTATGTGCGAGTGGTTGTCTCGAGCACAGGAAGCTCATGGTAAATCAGAAATGAAGAACGCCGGAATGTCTAAATGCAGCGACCGCGCAAGATTGACGGTACATATGTAAACCATACACCCGCACACACAGCATGTAGTATTTGGATATGCTGATGGAGGTCGAAGAAAATGCTGAAAATGGGGGTATCTCGAGGGATGCGCAAGGCTTGCTGAACACCGGCATCCTGCCTTTCATGAACTAATGCTGTTTTGGCTGTCCTTGGGACTTCGTTGTTGATTTAGAATCTTGTGGTTGTTGTGTGTAGGAGTGATGTTGTCGAACCTAATTAGCTGGTCAGCAAGAGAATAATCAAACCGCTTTTGTGTCAAAACACCTACACGTTGTCGACCTCTTCTTTCCTCTTCTGGATAGCTGACTTTCTGCCTACCCTCCTCGTGCCAGGCGCTGAGGCTCTTGCCGCCGAACATGAGATCATCGTCCTCGATGGATATTGATTCCATCCAGCCACAAGCCTGCGACCCTCCCTCTGCGACCATGTAGTGGGAGGACGCATCCTGCTGGGAGTAGTGGGGATTTGTCGACGTGGTTACCATCTTGAGCGGTGAAGGGTTGATGGTAGTGGAATTGCTGTGTGGTTGCAGTGTGGTCCGCTTCGTAGTGTTGGACGATCCAGTATGTGGCAGTGGAGATGAATACGACTTCCTCCGCAGATGATATGTGAACTGCGACGAAGTTCTGTTGGCAGAGCGAGGCGAAGACATAAGAGGTGGGTTGTAATGATTGGAGGTTGGGAGCGACCGAATAGTAACGTCGACCGTCAGTCGAGGGCCTGTTTTGGGTTTAGGAGTCCGTTTACTATATATTCTTCCTGAACAAAAGGAGGAAGGAGGGAGGGCGAGTCGAGTTCGATAACCTAGGTTGCTTGACGGTTTTTTTTTTTTTTTTTTCTTTCTTTCTTTCTGCGTTTCGAGTCGTGCTTCGAGGGCGGTAACTACGAATCGCGAAGCCGAGTCTCTGGATAGTTGATGTGTATCTCCCGGGATCGGATCGGCGGCAGAGGATAGGTCGGTAGGTGAAAGGTGGTAGGTAGTTGTTAAATTAATATAGTGTACGTCTGTAGTGCGCCTGCAAGCGTCGCACGCGCGCGCGCAGATGAGTTGTCTCGGCTCAGCCGTCTCTGCCTTGCATGTGTAAGCCCTTGCTTGTAGAACGGCGAGCTGTCGCTTGTCGCTATCGCTGCTGGATTTGAGGCTGCCGAAGGTTTGTCCAAGCTTCGCGGTTGGGAAAAGGTATATCGCACAGAAAGTACGGGATCGTTGAATGTTGTTGGGAAGCAAATGGAAAGAATGGGGAACCGAGAGACGCGTGGGAATCCTCGGGCAACGTGGGCGCGCACTAGTTTAAAATGTATTGGACGAATGCGATGCGATGCGATGCGCGGGAGATGCGCGGGCGATGAGATTTGATATGGATAATAGATCGTGGACAGCAGTAGAGGAACAAGGAACAAAAGGCAAGGTACTGCCTAATCCAGATGTTGTGGGCGAGGTTGTCGAGCTGTCACTAGCACAGAAAGTACTAGTATTCGTATGATTTGTACCTCCCTGGCCTGCCCACCTCACCTGAAAGCTGGGGAAAGGAGGGACTGGACCCAACTGGACCCAACTGGCCCCCCTCTCTTCTCCAGCTCCCCTCTTACTCTCTGGGACGAAAGGCGGTCTCGCCCGGGGGGAGGAGGAGGAGAAGGGGGGAGGCTGGGGAGGGGGGGGGGGGGGGGTCGAGGAGGGTTTTGGGAGGGGCTAAGGGGGCCTCATTCAGCGCTCAACGCTTACAAGAATGCGCAGAAAACACACCCAGATCCCAGCTGGACTGTATGCGGGGAATTCCGGAAAAGGGAACTCAGAAACATACCTGAGGTGAGCTGCTTGGTACTTGACTGCGGCGGTCCTGTGGCTCTCGTGGCTTACAGGTTTGACGCAGTAGGTATCTAGCGTACCAGGGGTTGTCGGGAGGCTTGTTCTGGGTGGATGGCCCAGCCCGACAGGGTGGTCGTGGTGATTCAGTTTTAGCGGGAATAGCGCCGTGCTGTACTTTGTTGGCTGGGGGGCGCTGATTCAGGTCGGGTCTGGGCGGCAACATGAAGGCAGGGCAGGTGTGCTATGAGGTGTCGCGGGCGTCAAAGCGGTCTATTGCAATGCTTCGGATCAGACTTTGCCGAGTCAAGGCAACTTCAATGAAAACGTACAACGTGGACTAGGAAAACAGCTCGCTTAGTAACGTAGTGCACAAGATCTGTCAAGACAAGATGACAGATGTGGTTATCGAAAAGAGCGTTCATGTGAGGTCATCGCAGGATTAGTCCAACATGCCGAGGAGGGGAGCGTGTTCCATCGTCTGTTGTCTGCCAGAGGCAATAATGACGAAACAAGGTGCCAGGTTGATTTGTGCTTGGGATTGAATCTGGTGGGCTGTACATTAGGAAGTACGGACCACTTCGTACGTAGCGAAGCCCACTGAGCCTTACCAGCATGCACAGAATGACACAGAAGAGAAGATGAATGGGCCTTGGCCGCCGACACACCAACAACAATGAGTACATTCACACGATGTATGTAGACAGGCAGGTAAGTATAGCAATCATTGTTACCCATACATAGCTGCCCGGGAAAGAATTAGGTCTCCATCCTCCCATCATGTCTTGTGAGGAATATATCACCCAAATACGGACCCTCATTCCCTTTACCTTGTAGGTTGTACAATAAGACCCGTGTGTATTGATGCCCATTTGCGCTTGATCATAACATCATTTGAGGTGTCATCCTAAACGCCTTTCTGCTTCTACAGGTATTAGCACGCGACTCAGGCCTCTATTCTGACTAGTACCGCAGGTTGCCACCATTTTTATTTGTCCAACAGCGTTTGGACTGATGATCGATGCCTGCTGACTGATAACTGCTGACTGAGCATTAAACGCTGACTCGCTACCTACTCTGACCTATAACTCTGTCTGTATTGTGCATAAAAGCTGCTCTACCCATCCATCATCACGACGGGTAACCCGACACTACACTAGATTCAGCCCTGTGGCGGCTATGCAAACCCTCAATTTACATGTATGCGCCATTTCCTCACGTCCTAGAATTTTCAAAATCGGGACGTCATGGCGAAGATGGATTTTGTGAGATCCAAGAAAGATGCCCTTGACGCTGCTCCATGTTCGTTTCTGTAATACTTGCAAAGCCCAGACGTTGCATATCGTCATAAGAGGCCGAAAAGGTCATGATCTTCACTTGTTACCAGCACCATTCGCCGAGGTTCCGAACGTTTGTGGCGCTCAGGCTGACAATGCCAGACGCGTTTACTGCTATTTGTTAAATTCAAATAGATCTTCAATCTTGGCAGAGCCAGCTCCATATTTCATGTAAAATTGACCAAAGGCTTGCCAAAAGACCCGCCTGGGGAATATGGCAGCCAGAGGATGGCATTGCGAGGTATTCCTCACCTGGTACCGTTTGGCAAACCCCACCCTAAGTCAGAACATGTACTCCCTATAATAACGGGAATGAGGAGACCAAACAAATAAAAATAAAGCAAGAACCAATACCATTTGTTATTAGTGAAGAAACGCCAAACAATATCTGTTTCTATTACCTTTTCTTCTGCATCATGGGGTTATATTGTACAGTAAATTCCCTTGAGTGGCTGGCTAGCTAACAGCCGTACGGAGAATGCCAGGTCAGCAGCCTACGCCCAGCGTGGTGTCACGGGCAGCTGGAACACATAGGTTAGATCAGCTTTCATGCACTGGCGACTACATTCACCGTCTTTCTACGCTCACTGTCAAGATAGCGGGGATCGGTACGACAAAGGTAAAGACTTTTCAAATTTTCGTCCATATTTAGGTAACGAATCTGCCAGACAGGGCTGCGGGCACCATAACCCATACTGCGCAGATCTGTGACAGCAAAATTTGTTTTTCACATGCTGAAGGAGTAAAAGTTCTTAGTTGTAAGTGACTAGCGTGAGAAGGATCGCAACCGCTCATGCGATCTGCCCTGTGAGGCCCGCCATACCTTGCTTGGTATCTCCGATCTTCTGAGACGCGACTTTCGTGTCACTCTAACGCTGGCTGTTTTATTTGGATGTAGAAGAGAAAGCCTACAAGCAGCGTTATCTGAGCCTCTTCTATTAATTTATGAGGATCTCGCCAGCCGCATTCTTCTTGCATATGCATCTCTTCTCTGTTATGGCATTGATCGATCGTCTCAACAGACCATTTGATGACAAGTGCAATCGACCTCGTGTATTAGAAGGGATACGAGAAGGTCAGATAATGAATGTCGAGGGCCTGGTAACTCCTTTTGGCTGAACCAACATTTTGGGCTGAATCTTTTCTTAGTCCGCGGACAGCAAGCCAGAACCGGAGGTTTGGAAAGCATATGTACGTATGTATTGATTGGCCTGTATACCTTGCTCTTCTATGTCGCCAACTGTTATTCATGGTATCGTGGCCGCGCAATTTATTTCCTTGTCGCATAGCAAAATCCCGCCTTTCTGATGTGAGATAAGCAATATGATGTACAAGGGCGGAAAGCATGAGGAAGCTTCCTGGTTGACACTGCCAGGTCGTGCTCTTGAAGCTCCGTATTGAGAGCCACTAACATCTACCGTCACTGCGGCTTCGCGCCGGTATGGTGTTTCTGGAACATTACTCAAAATGGCGTCGTTCTTCCATGGTCTAGAAAATGATTGAATCATTGCAACTTACAATTATTACCCATCTAGTGTGAACCAAGCCTCTGTGTACTCGCATAGACCCCGCTTAGCGCCAAGCTCTATTGTAGCGGGGAGCGAAATTGTAGTATTTCCCCAGTGTTGTAGACCGGCTGGCTGCCAAAGTAATAATTATGCTAGGACCCCTAAAAGCTACGAATGCTGTCCAACACCTGTGTATGACATATCGTATCATTGTTTTATACCTTTTTTTTTTTTTTTTTTTTTTTGAAATTACTCGAGGGTATCAGAAGTCGGCGAGGTCAGTTTTCTTTCTTGAATGTTTCCTTAGAAAAGACACTTCTGGTCATTTCAGAGAACAAATGGTGGAATGCGTATTCCCACAAATCAAAGATCATCGCATTGGGCAAATGATCAGTCAAGAGTCACGAGTTTTAATCCGCCCAAAGCTGATGTTGCCTCCTCCAACAGCAGGCGGCGGTACAGAGATTACTTGATTGAGCGGGTGATCTACATTCGTACAACATTGAGTATGTATAGATAGCCTTGGACCTTGGTATGCCTCTGGCTGGTTTGCTTGGTATTTGCCCAGGAGGCAAGTATGTGTCCAAGGAGGCTAATACGTTGTTGCCTCGAAGGCTTTCTCGCACATTCCCGACTTTTCACATCAGATTGGTTAGCAGGGAAGGGTGTCACGTTACCCCTCTTCGGCCTTTCTATCCACATTTTGACTTACAGCTTACCGTGTGTGCTGATCACCTGAAACTTCAAACTTCTAGTATATAGAAATCGTGATAAGAAGACTAGTCTGCTGACTCGAGGCTCGGTTTCCCCCCCTCCTTTGTAGGCACATTAAAAATTCGTGAGATAAATCGCGAGCATACTCTTTGTGTAAAAATATATTCTGCGGAGAATGACACGATAGCCAACATTAAAGCGCATACTTAACCACATAGAATGCTGCTAGAATTACTGGGCAACTAGAACGTGAATCGGGAGGAGCCAGTAAGTAGCGATCTCTCATCCCTGTCTCCCACTGTCGTCATTCCGCCCGCATTTGCCGCCCGCGGGCCCATCCCATTCGTAATTAGCCCGCCAACTAGCTATGTACTTGTAATGATGCAGAGCTACGTGACGTGCACTACATTTAGTATACGCTACTGTACTCATAATTACTAGTGGCCGAGGTGCCAGACAACCGGTTTTCTCTTTGTGGATTCATGATGGATACATGCGCTGAGATTATTCCTTGGTGATATCATCGTCATGGCAAGGCTTATGCGCCACTCGACCCAATAATCAACCCGGGTAGTATGATGGTATACCACCTTGTCTAAAGTAGCAATGAGGAAGATCTCTTGTTGCGACATGCCCATTACAAATTACCATTACATGTAGAATACCTTGACTTGACTCGAAGGCATAGCCAGCAATCTTGAACATGCTTCAAATTTTGATCATTGTTGATTGATAAGCTTATGTTATTTTGACCCTTGCCCTTGCAACTGTGTATACTTGTAGCGGACAAAAGCTGTGTTTATAGGAGATCTTGCTTGTTACAGGCCTGAGTCCGACACAAACGTGAACCGTGGCACTACGCCTTTCGTTTATTGCATGATCGGAAATGGTTCATGCCGGCGTATACTCACGAAGCTACTCACGAAGCTCAAATGCTTCTGATTCCTTGCGCGGCATTCTCCTGGACCTGAAAACCTGTACCTTCCATTCCCATTCCCACGCCATCATTGACTAACATGACATGAATCGTGCTCTTACTCCAAACCCCTGAATCTGCGGTTGAATTCTTCGACAGCAACAGCAACCATGCGATACAAGAATGTTCGTCCGCTTTCCTCGCCAATTGGGATAAAAGGACCGTTCGTACCTCCTCGGAGAACAATGCTGAGACCCGTGCGCTCCTTTGCAATCGTCTGAACGTCCTTGAGGGAAACATCCCACTCGGTCGTCAGGCGCCGACTCCTAATAAGCAAGATTCGGCTATATGTTACCATGACAACCATGTCCTCACGAGGAAGTTCAAGGTGAGCAATGTACTCCTCGTTGAAGTAGCGTCCATTGTCAACCTGCTTGAGCCATGATTGACCAAGAGCCTCCCGCTGATTGTAGGGCCGAACAACACCGTCCGAGGGTATGAATCGAGTAATGCGTACGCGGTCTAGCTCTGAGCCATCAAAAACAGTAGTGGTATTGCGGACACCCTCCGATACGTTGGAGGCGAAATCGAGCACACCCACAGCAGGTTTGGTCAGCAAACCGAGAGCGCCCTTACCCACGCCCTTGAAGAACCCTGCAGCTCCTTCCTGCTCTGCACCTTCAAGCGGCTTCTTCGCAACACCACCAACACCAGAAGCAATAGAGGTGAAAAATGAGTTGGCGCCAGCCGTGAACCCGTAGAGAGCGTGCTTCGGTCGGTTGCGAGCGCGCGTGATACGTCGACGGTCCTGGAACTGCTTATCCAGGGTTGCAGCGGCGAGTCCTTTGCTGAAGCTGCCAGTAATCTTTGAGAACGAATCTGAAAACCCATAGACTGACTTCTTGACAAAGCTGGCTGCTCCTTTGGCAATACCAATGCCCAGATCCTCGGGCTTGTCTGACATGATGAGTCCTTGATATGGTTCGTAGAAGACATCCGTAATACCGCTACTGATGTTGTTGAACAAACCGACCGGGTTGCCCAAGAAATCGGCGCTGCCAATAATCTTGTGGACTTGGTAAATAACCTCCTGGCTGTAATGGTTCGACATGTTCTGAACGAGGACTGGAATGGAGACACGGGCATTCTCAAGCAGCAAGGCATTCAGACGAATGGGTGCATCGTTCACATTGCCGATGGCCATGGTCATTGCATTGATGAAAAACATGACCGGGTTATGTGATGATGTCTTGTCCTCCACGTTGACACGCTCAGTGCGCATGAAGGACAGGTCAAGCTGCATGGGCTGAATGTTGAGCACCTCAAAGTAAATGTCTTGCCCGGATTGCTGCTGCTTGGGCTCAGGAATGTCGAGCCCCTCATCGCATAGCTTGCCTTCGTGGGTTTCTGTCCAAGAGGCACCAGGAACCTTTGTAAAGTCAAGCACGGCGTAAATGAAATCTTCGTCGAGTTCGACCGTCATCTGCTGCAAGAGCAATGTAGCATACTTGACATACAGAACACCGTATGAATCGTCCTTGACTCTTGTGACCATGGCATGGAGAGACGGATGTGTTTCAATTTCCTGGGCCTGCTTCGGAACCACTGAAGGATATAGGACCATCGGGAAGAGCCCTCCATAGAGCTGATTATCGATCTGAATCCACTTGATTGAAGCACTGACGCTTTGGTAGAGAGCCGACTCATTGAACTTCAGTTGGACGTCTCTAAATGTCACGTACGCCAACTCTTTGAGTTGTGAGTTGATAAGGGAAATGCCAATGCCGGACAGCTTCAGGGCTGCTTGAAATGTGGTTCCAGTATCGAGCTGCTTGACCTCAAAACCACCTGTGCTGTTCGTACTTAGACCAGTTCCAGTTCTTTGTCGGTAGAGGCTCTTGTTTGCTTTGAAGTTGGACAGGATCAGGGTCTGTGTTGGACCATCTGCGGCAACATTGATGTCGATGATCTTCTGGTTGCCCGAGGCGCCCACAAACTTCATGGGAATCAGATTGCCAATCTCGGCTAATTTGACATGCCGCTCCTTGTTGGAGGTACTGATCACGACCTCCTTGAACTTGGCGGCAGGGAAGTCCCAAGCATACGGCATGATACTACGGGGCGGAAGTTTATATCGTATAGGCCGCCATCCTGATCGGTCTTCCACACCATCTTCGTCGACATTGGGATTAGCCTGCCAGAAGGTAAATTCTGTATCGCTCTCGTTACGCATGGAGAAGGGCCAATTTTTGGTCTCAATGCTAAGATGCAAGAATATTGTTGCATCTTCCATCAACGTTTCGACACGAATCAGGCGCTGTCGTTGTCCAGCCTTTGCAATCTTGACGTGTGTGGTTCCTAGGTCAGAGATATTGAACGATGAGCTCCACTGATTGTCAATGCCAGGATAACACAACGCAAGCTGCTTTACTTGTGATCTTTGCAAGGCGTGGAGAGGCTGTAAAGCACCAGGCTTCAGCGTCATGATATTGGACGAGCCAGGTTCTCGTATATTGAGTTCTTCGCCAGACTTGTTCTGAACGACAAATCTTGGGGCCAAGGTGACAACTCTGGTCATCTTGTATTTGCCCTCTCCTGCCTCGACAGTGATACCGACGTGGTACTCTGCGCTCTTGTTCATAGCCGGAAGGACAACATCAGTGGTGCTACCGATGGCGTCGAAACTCTGGGGCTTGCTCCATTCAGAATCGCCAACTTTGAGAAGAGCACGATTCCTGTGATCATCACTTCCGAATGAAAACATGAACGGCAGCGCTTTGGGTTGTTCCTGATCTGAGTTGTCCATGAGCGGCGATTGACCCGCAGCTCGTTTGGCTTGCTGAAGAAACTGCTTGCCACGGATGTTGACTTCTAGGGCAGTCTTGTTCAAGACGACATAGGGGCTGTAAACAGTAATCTTGAAAGCGCCACCACCATTGGGAACCTTGAAGTAGTGGAGTCGTAGCTGGAGCTGCAAGCCTTCCTCATCTTTGCACACCAGCTTGTGTTCTTTGTGGAAATCGTCTTGTTGTCCGGGATTGATGATTGCGAATTCGCTGGGTTTGAATACTGTGTCCTGCATGTCAATGCTCATGAGCAGGAGATGTGATAACTCCACAACATGGACCGGACTGACACCGCCTTTGCGCAAGAAGTTTGTCCAGTCCTTTTTGGTGTTTTTGTCGTAGATCCGGTACTTGAAGTCATATGGTAAGAGATTCTCGAGGATGATTGGCGGCGAAAGCTTGATCTTCATGTAAGGATATTTTCTGAAGACGGGTTAGCGCGGTTCATATGGAGAGGATTATGTAGACAGACCCGTTGAGGAAGTGACTCTTGTCAAAACTTGTGTTCATTTGAAAATAGAACGGATCATTGCCATCACCTTTGCAGACCAGAGTCCGCGTGGGTCTCTTGATGAGATCCTTCCACCAGAGATGTTCAGATGACCAGGCATACCCAAACCCAGAGTCTGGACGCACCAACAATGACTTCACAAAGCATGCCGCTACTGGAGCTGGTCGGCTCTCGCCCGGAGGGATTTTCTCAATCTTCAAGAGATGGCCGTCCTGAGCATCATACACACCCAGTTCTACAGGGATCTGGGTGGCATTCTCAACGACCAACGGCGAGCGCAGCGTGACATACTTGATGTTGTCGCTGCCCAGCTGTACCTCTACGAGGAGTCGATGAAGTGTATTGTCGGTCTTTGGCCTCAAGCTGTATAGATATTCTCCTTGTCGGTTGATGCGGATGTTCTTGACCGTGTCAAATCCGCTACCTTCAATCTGAACACTCACGCTGTTTGCAGTACTGTTCTCGGAGATGATGTTCTCGCGCATCTTTTCCCAATGCTCAAAGCTCCAAGGCGCCTCTTGACCATCTTCAAGCTTTACAGAGATATTCTCGGTGTTGCTTTGGTTTCTGGCCTGGACAAGCACTTCGAATCCAGTGTAGTTTCTAATCTTGTAAGGCGACTCGGCGCCTCGCGGTTTTCCAAGGACATCTTCGTTCTCCGTGAGAAAGTCAAAAGACTTGGATGCTAGGGCAATGGTTGCAGTCGTGACGGTAAGGTCAAATGTCTTTCGTGATTGCATGTCGATCGAAAGCAACCCAGTGTCTTGCGATCTTGCTACGCCAAGGCCGACTTGCCATGGCTCCAGTAGAGGCTCCCAGGCCGACTTGGCAAAATTGTAAACATTAATATACATATCCATGGCAGTCTCAGCCTTGAGGTTGCCGGTCCAGTCGGCAGCCGACGCCGAGAAGCTCTTGATGCTGAGGTCCACAATCGGCAGTTCGTGTACATCACCTATCAACACAACGCGTATGCCATCTATGGTGGCAGTCAACTCCTCATGGCGCTTTGGTCCTCGCTTGATATCGTGGACTGGCTGCTGGGGCTGTGATGGTTGCCGACCTCGGGTTGTCACGGTACCTGTGGTTTTCGCACGGTTGGCAATTGTGGACTGACCCCGACCACTGGCCGTGCGCTCCTTGAGGCCATCCCGCCGAAGCTCTTGAGCTTTCTTGTCCGATGCAGATGGCTTGTTGATTTCTGGCTCATTACCAGACAACTCCGATGCCTTGCGGACGATTTGAAGAACAAGAAGAATGTCTCGCAATGAAAGTCGAAGGATTAGCGGCTCAACATCAATGTGTATATTGGTCAGGTTTGGCTGCGAACTGTCAAGGGAGAGTTGAATGGAAAAATCATCCAAAATGCGGAGGCGCGTGTCTTCGAACCTGTCCATTCGACATAGGAACATGCCAACTTTTGAGACTTGGAAGGTAAGAGCATGTTGCTGTGAAAGGAGCACCTGCTTCGTGCCCAATACAATGGCCTCGGAGCTCGAACTCAGGGGATTCGCAATGAGGATTACTTGCGCGTCCACAATGTTCACACGGAAGGCAACGTTCAGTTTCCCCTTGTCTTCGGATGATTGAGTCTTGGATTGCTGTTGCGAATTTGGGGATTTGCTGCCCGTCCAAACAACTTGCATTGAGTCAGCATCAGATCCGTCAGCAGAGTCGCTGACGCTTTCTTCAACCTGCACTGGCTCGTCGACCTCAAGACTGGCGGTTACAAATCGCTGAATCGCGAAGACGTAATCCAAAGCAAAAATGACACGTGGACTGTCAATGGCGACCATCGCGATGAGATTTCGTTCTTTGCCAGCGCTCATTGAGATGGAGGCCATGAATTGCTGCACACTTTTGTTTGATGAAGTCATGATCTTCCTGTACTTATTTCCTTCGCCATATCGAGAATCCTGTATGGTGAACGAATGAATGACGAATTCTGCTTCAAGAGAGCCGTCTGCAAGTATCCGCGTCTTGAGTTTACTGTCATCGAGCGAAAATTGTGACAAGCTGGCCCTTTCAGTGTTACCAACAGGCTTTGCTGCAGGAGCATTGATCAGCTCTAAACCAATCTTGTGCACGGTAAAGACAAGGTCCAGCTTGGTCCAGGTGGCCTCATGAGATCCCAGCTCCGGGCTCAGATCGATGAGGGACTCCTCCCCGGCAGTGGTAGAGGACGACATGGTCTTGGCCCGCCGTAACGTGCCTTCGTCAACATCCCTCTCCGCTTCCTCACCACTTGCTTCGGTATCCGTGGAGAAGGCAGCTGGAACAGTCCGCGAAATATCAAGCAATGACTTCAATTGGTATTGCGTGATCTTCAAATTGAGGTCTGTCATCTTACCCTCAATCTCCATATCTGGCCGCTTTGAGCCTTTTTGGTGCTCGGCATACGTGATGTTGAAGCCCAGGTCGACGTGGTCGATCATTTCTAATTCTTCCGAATCGTCATGAGAATAGTGGAAGAGAGATGTGAGCCTCACATTGCGAATGCCCGCTGAGAGTTTCATGGCGATTTGAGCATCTTGGGAGTCGTCCAGGGGCACGAATTTGTTTTGTGCGTAGATCTCACCAAGATAGGCCGTGACTAGGTCGCGCCTTGGCCGATCGGGGATAATCGCACCAGGAAAAACAATGATGGGCGTGTTGACGACAACATCAAACTTCATTCGGCTGGTGCTCTGTTGGATCTGTTGGGCTTGATTGGCGGCAGCTTGGCGAGCAGCATTGTAAATAGCCTGCATTTTACCAAATTTGACCAGGAATTCAATGATCTTCCTGAACGGTTCGTCTTGAAAGTTGACCTTGATAGACCCGGCACGGAGGAATATTGACGAGTCATATCCAGGATATGCCTTTTCGTTGTTCGCATCAAAAGTTTCATACCTGAAGTCCGCGAGTTCGTCTCCCTGGATTGTCACGAGCCTTCGAAGACTGGAGTTTTCCGAAGCTCCCACGTTGACGTCGTCTACGAGACTAAGATCGCCAAGCTTTGTTGCAATTCGCATTGTCTTGCCAGAGAGGTAGACGCCAATATCAGCATGATTGAAAGATAAAGTCGCCAGACGGATCCCATCATTATTGAGGATCATCCGAATACTCTTCAAGTCAACCTTGACACGAATTGATCCACTCTCCTGCGACTGTTGCTCAATTACGGGCTCTACTACCCGTGGCGTCTCGTTGTCGTCATTCTCATCGTCGTCTTCGGTACTCGCAATCGCTCCCTGTTGCTGGCCATTCCCGCTGTCATTATTCGCAAAAGTAACCAAGATGAAGTCGAGTAACGTCAACAATGTCTTGCGAGTGACGACAAGGTTGATGGTGGATACTGCAACATTGATGTTGGTCTCTATCCCCTCATATACTGGCATGAACTCTGGAGAATCCCTCTTGACCTTGATGAACTTGATTTCCACAAGATCTCTCTTCTCTCGCCGATCGTCAACATCACCAGATGACACGATTGACTTGAATTCTGAAGATGGATTGTCTACAAAGTCGTCCACAGTGACAGATCCAAGAGAGACTTCGGCAACCATATCAAAAGGGCGTATGTAGAAATTAAGATCAAAATCCTCAGCCACCAGCTCCACCAAGAGCGAATCAGCCTTGATACCGTCAGGATCGCTCCGGTAAAGCGAACCTTGCAATTTGTCAACCGCAAATTTGAATTCGAATGTCCGCTGCTGCATCTTTATCTGTTGGTTTGTGCTTCCTTCTGAAGCATCTTCAAAGTCGTCATCATCGTCATCCTCATCATTCAGAATCACTGCAGTCTGCTGAGTTGCGAATAGGTTGGCAGAAGACTTTCGGCGATGTGATTTGTAGGAACGACCTGATGCACTGCTGAGCAAACGTGGTCTCTTGGTCTGCTGCTGCTGTATCTGGCTTTGCTGCGTGTCGCCGCCAAATTTGGGGATCGCAACGTCAATAAGCTTCATGAGACTCTTGTACTTGGTATCCGAAACAGTCGCATGCAGAACAGGCATATGGCCGGATATCTTCATCTTTGTAAGATTCGGGGCTTTCGGCAAAATCGACATGGCAACCACGAAGTCTAAGTTGATCTTCTCCACGATGTGAAGCATTCGTGTATCATCCTTTTCCACGAGCTGAGACTTTGCTTCAGCAATTGAAGGACCGATGAGAACTTGGGTGGACGTCAATTTGACCAGGAAACGGTCATACATGAGGGATTCAAGCTGCTTGAAGTCCTCGTCCGAGTACCGTTGGTGTTGTTTGTCTTGTACCTGCTTCAAAACGTCTTTGTCAACGAGCTCGCTGCTGACACTGATGTGACCAGCATCTAGAATGAGGCAGGTCGATCGATCAGTGGTAATGCTCTGTGGAATAATGATGAGAGGTGCCTGTAGATCTAGCTTGGCATTGAGCGTCTTGTGCTCCTCGAGAGCAAACTCGAGGCCAGCTCTAGTTTGTTGCCTTAAACCCTCAACCGTGGCACCAGCTGTCTCCATGAGCGCGGTGATTGATTCCATGTGTCTCTCTGGAGGTTTGAAGAAGTCCACTATGCCCACAACGAAGTTTGGATTCCACACTATCTCTAGTGGTTTGAGCTTAGCCGTGACTGCGAAATCGCCTTGCCCATCGAGCGGGTTTTGCTCGACCTGAAGATCGAAGAAGGAGGTTTGCTTTGACTGTTCCAAATCGGCAATTGAGAGACGCTTTTGCTTGCTCGCTTCCGGCGCATCCTTGACTCGCACGATTTCCTGGAATAAGGATTCAGGGGTAGTGCCGTCGTTTACTCGGAAACCACCCAGGCTAATGTCAGCCAAAAACGAGTCTGGCCGTTTTAGTCCTTTTGCCTTGAAGACGTCAAAGTGCAGACTCAGCAAATCTCTCTTCGCTTTGTGAGGACTTTGCCGCAGGGTGAAGCTACCTGTGCTGAGACACGCATCAATTTGCATCTGGACAGTTTCCCTTGGCACGTCTACAGCGTCGGCCAATGCTGCTTTCTCATCCCAGTCAATCGCCTCGTAGAGTTCCTGTCTCTGCTCCTCGGTCATTTGTGTATTCTCGCTGGAGTCTTGTTGCTGCTCGGATGGCTTCGAGCCCCATGCCCAAGCCAGCCAGCCTTGTTGCTGTTGTGGTTTTGGTGGCGCATTCTTTAGGGCTTCCGCATTCTCCTTCTTCAGCTGATTTCGGGCAAGCGATCTCCAGAATCGAAGGTCTTCGTATTCAAGCTTTTGTTCGAGCCTGTTGATATCGTCCGCTTCCTGGGCCGAAAGAGACTGGTTGGCTTTTCTCTTCTTGAACAATTCAATGTATCTGCGTCGGTCATCGCGCCTCTCTCGGAAATAGTCCCAACTCCACCGCCGGTTGCGCTCATGAATCTTGGACAGTACCGCATCCCCGGCGAACCGGAGCCAGGCACGGGGATTTTCCTTGGGCGTGACACCTTTGGGCTGAAGCTTCTTGTATTCCTGATGGCGGATGAAGTAGTGAAACAGGTCCACCATCATCAGTGCGTCGCGGTATTGATCATCATCAAGTACAACACCGATCTCATCGAAAAGAAGGCTGCTTTTGAATTTGGGCACCTGGACGTTACCACTCTTGTCTAATTCGAGCTTGGCCTGGCCACTGACGGGTCTGAGGATAAATTGATGCGTTGCTGTTGCTGCATCCTCTCCTTTGCCGATCATTCTTTTGAATTCAGCAATTAGCTCGTCGTGCGGTAATGCCTCATCCCCATCGTCTGGCACCTCGCGACCTGAACCTAGCAGTTGCGTGTCTGTGTTCCAGTATACTGCAAGGGCTTCCAGTTTGGCCAACTTATGTGTTGTTGTGCTCGAGTTCTGTATGAAGGTAGGCTTCCACTCGCCATCGGTCGAGACCGCGCTGAACTCCTCGAGCGTAATACCGAGGGCAAATGGATGACCAGGAGTAGATATCGAGTCTTCGTAGCGCACGTGTATGTTCTTGACCGTCACTTGCAAGTTATCAACAATCTTGGTTACCAAGCTGTCCGTGAAACTCTGGCTCTTCTTTTGTTCTTCTTGGCTGAGACCAGCCTGCGAGCGTTCTTTCAATAGCTCAGCAGAGTCCAACTTCTCCATTTTCAGCCTCTGCTTCCTCCGCTCCTCTTCTTCAGGGTCATATGCCGCCTCCTCCTTGGGCGATGCCAACAGGAAGACATCTTCCACGAAGACCTTGACCGGCGAACCTCGGAGGTTGGACCAAGGTATTACAAGGGTTAACTCGCCGAGATGACCCTCAACGACGTTGATGGGTAGTTTGAGCTGGTCGAGGGCTTCCTTGCGCAACTCAAGATTGCGCAGTTTCACGTCACCAGACCAGATACCGACTTTGAGCTGGGCGGGGTCAAAGTTCTTGACATACATGCCCAGGAAGCGGTTCAAAAGACCGGCGACCAGACCTTCGAGCATCTTGACCTTGTGTTGCCGTAACCCGGGCAGCGGGACAGTTGGGTGTTAAGGCGGGGTATCGCGATGCCTCATGGGCAGGGAACGCTCGGATCGCGGATTGGAATATATGCTCTCAGGATTGCGATTTCGTCATGTAGTCGTTGCCTCATTTGAGGTCGGGGTTCGAAGTTGAGAGATTAAGCGCGGGAATTTGGCGTTCTTTGGCAGGGCAAAGTCGCTAGACTGAGTAGATATGCGGATTGACTCTGTCGACGTGATTTCGTGTGTTGTCTCAAATGCAGGCAGTCCAGGTAATGGAGGTAGCTCGGCAGGGAGGTAGTTGTAGCCAAGGTACGTAATGTAGTGGGGGGTTGGTCGCCTGCCCACAGGTACAGTGAGTGAGTGAAGGTTGACGAAGTCCGACCCGAAGAACAGTTCGCCAACCCTAGCAGGATAGTGTTGCCGAGAAATCTGCAGTCACTGACAATCAGCCAGCGGAAAGATCACTGCAAGGAAGCCAATAAGGGGAAAAAAAAAGAAAAAGTTCCCTGGATTCTGGGAACAGAAGCAACAGAGGTAGGCGGATGATGCGCAAGTAGTAAGAAAAAGGCCCGTGTCCACTTATGACCTACATTACCTAGGTAGCCAATTTGTAGGATCTGGGGACAACTTAGCTAGGCAGGCTCGAGGCACAGATCACCGATCTTCAGATCGTCTGTTAACCAACAACGTGGCGCGGCGTGGCGTGTCGCGTATGGCTGACAAGCTCCAAGTTGGATTTGGCAAGTTGGTGTGTCGACCAACGCCCATAGTACACTACTACTTTAGTAGTGCATAATGGTGTAGATACGTTACTAGAGACCTACCTTCTTACTTCCTGCCAAGTACGATATACTGATACTATGTACAGAACTTGATTACACATAGGTACCTATATAGGTGGGTATCGATGCTTGTCATGCATCGGGCATAATCGATTCTATGTATTAACCCTGTCTGCCAGGTAGGTACGAGCAGATGATAATCCCTCGTGTGAGATGAATTGTATATTTCTTTGTGTAAAGATGCACAATGCTCTGCTTTTGTTTGAATTGAAGGCTCCAGCATTAGTGTAGAATGTCGGACTGGAAGTGTAGGTATGTATGCTACTATGTACATTTCCTATCCACTGACTTCCTTCACCGTGTATGACGCCACTGAGAAAGCCATCCCGATCCTCTCATAAGAATTTGAACCCCTACAGACCCAACCCAGGCTTGGATTCATGGTTAGCAGTTGTGGCTGGATGCAGTGGTGGGCCTGAGTGAGTGAACATCTTCATAATGCTGCGAGCCATGGTTGGAAATATTCTACTTATCTTTTTGATAGCATACATATGCTTGGTATGTGTCTTTGCTGCAAAGATATCCAAGAACACAACGAGGCGCCTTGTGGATGTCATGGTATGACGATTCTCGTGTTTCTCTGCGCCGCAAGCCACAAATTGCGGGGTAATTTGGCCTGACTTCACACTAATACTCTGCCCATAAATGCGTCAGGGAGGTGATGCCCCTGGCACCGGCAGGTCCTCAGGACTCTTCCCTGGTAAGCCTGGTTGCCTGGCCCTCTCGATGAAGGTCTGTCTGGCATGACACTGTATTGCACTATTTTGTGTAGTCACGGTAGGTAAGGCCAATCTTGCACTACCTACAAATCCATGGATGCACTACGTACATATGTAGCTACTTTCTAGTAGCCATCAATACCCTAGCAACATTGAATGGTGTCTTGGGTGTTTCATGGTCTCGTTGGATGGCTGGCAAGAAGCTATGCACCTTTCCCTGCTCTGCTCCCAGCTCATGTCTTGCTCATGACGTCACTACGACGTTCACGAAAGCTCTAAGAGCTCCAGAGCTCCAGCCAACTTGGATGCTGATCAGGTCCCAGATTGAAGGCATTGATTGATACCAATTGAGGATTTGAGTACATCCGCCGGGTAGGCGAAAACAGCCTTGAGACATGTACCGAGGGCAATGTTATCTTTTCCCAGCGCAACGGTACACCCGCATCCAGTTTAATGTGACAAGCGCTGGAGAAATGTTGAATTGACTTCCAGGCTTGATTCGCTCGTCTCTCGGCATCTGTACAATACACCATGCATCGAAGCTTGATTGCATCAGGAGTCGATACTTCTTTTCGTCACGGTCCCGCATAGTTCCAAGACATGAAACTCTTAACTCTCTTAGATGCCAATCCTCGTATTTAGGTGATTTGGTTTCGTAGTCTCCTCATAAGGCTTTCTATCTCATCGTTGATATCTGCTGTACACATCGTGATTCTCTCCATTCCGCGTTTCTGTCTCCAACGACCACCCACCTTCCTTGCGCATTACCACTCCACCCTCGCGCGTGCGAAGCGCTCAACTTTAGATTCGACTCATCGGCCGCTGCATCATGTTGCGAAGTAGCCGAACACTATGGACGAGCTCTGCTAGGAGTCTTGTCTCTAAAGATCCATCAACAATTACGCCTCGGCCGCTGGCAACACGCGCCCGCTCGTTGTACCAGTCTCATTTGCCCCGTCGTCTCGCAGACCCCAAGCCACTGTATCTCGTTCACAAGACGTATTTTGCAACTAAACCCGCGAACCCAGAGGAAGAGAAGAAATGGGGCCAGGAGAAACTGAAACCTCACCCAGAGTCGGTATCGACTGAATCTAGCGTCCGCCAATTCCTAGAACCAGATCAGTCGCGTAGCTCTGCACAGCCCGTTCAAGAAGGAATAGCACATGACCTGGTATGTACGCGATGCAGAGAATGTCCATTAATAGACTTGAGAATATGTCACTAACTTGAATGCTTGTGCCACGCTAGAACCTCGTCAAAGAGACGTTTGCATTGAGTACGGTGCCCAAAGAATCTTACGTCCTAGGCCTCGCCGGCACCATTCCCTACCTCGCGACATCCTGCAGCAACTTATACCTGTCCTGGGCTCTGAACACCGACTGGCCTACGTCGTCCAACTTTCTCAACAGCATCCTCATGAACCATGAAAATGCAAGGTATTGGCTTAGCGTCATTGAACCATTGCAGATGGGCTACGGGGCGGTCATCATCAGCTTCCTTGGCGCCATACACTGGGGACTTGAGTATGCTGAGAAAAAGCCAAGCTATCCACGAACACAGTTCCGATATGGGCTTGGTGTGCTGGCATCAGTTGTGGCTTGGCCTACTCTCTTCATGCCTTGGCAGTTCGCCATGACTTCCCAATTCGCTGCATTCGTAGGTTTATATTTTGCCGACTCTCGAGCTACTGTTCGTGGCTGGGCGCCATATTGGTACGGCACATACCGCTTTGTGCTGACTGCCATTGTCGGCGTTGCCATCATGTTGAGTCTCATTGGGCGAGCCAAGATCGGCGATACAGCTCCAAGATTGTCTGGTCTGGGAGAAAAGTTCCATCAAACCCACGGTGAAGAGGCTTACAATTCCAAGTGGGCCGCAGCTGAGTCCGAAGAGAAACAGCGCCAAAAGAAACAAGAGGAGGAGGATGAGAAACGCAAGAAGGAAGAGGAGGCCAAGAAGAAGAAGGAGAAAAAGGCCCAGAAGTCAAAGGACACGAGCCAGGAGAAGAAGGAGGCCAAGAAATCTGAAGAGGGTCAAGATTCGGATAAAAAAGACATTAAGAACGATGAGAAAAAGGCTGAGGGTAAGAAGGATAAGGACGAACCCGAAAACAAGGAGAACCAGGAACAAAATTCCTAAGATGTTGCGTATAGAAATGAGGAGCGAGAAGAACGCAGTAATCAGAGTGGTCGGGGCTCTCGCGCCTCGCATCAAGTCCTTGAGAATGTGTCCCGCGGCATGATTCTAGCCTGGAGTTCATTGAATACAATAATGTCAAATTTTCTTACCTAAACAAATGTCTCTCTCATATAGGTTCACGCCTGAATGATGATTTGACGAGATTGAATATACAGCCATTGAAACGACCACAACCCGTTGAATGTCAATAAAATGGCAAGAAGCGAAACGAATACTCCTAAGGGAGTCTTGGGAGTATTTCAGCTCTTCATCATCGAGCCAGCATAACTATTCTGGCCATCCCATATCAAAGTTGTTATGAGACCATTAGCTATTTTTTCAGAGTGACATATAAATGGTACTGTACGTATATAGCTGATAGAAGTGCGCTTTTGGCAGGTACCAGCGCATATCGCGCGTCTTCTTCTAGATATTTAGAATCCCGACTTGATGTTACATCCATTCAACGCTTGGTCTCTTACGCTGACCGGTGGCTGTCAGTTTGTCCCCCCACCCTATGATCAGATCGACAAAAGGCTTACCAACACATCCCAATGCTTCTCTACTATTCACGCCCACAAATAGAGTGTTCCTACTCACTTGACAACATCTGAACATGGGACTACAGAACTCAACAAACAACACTGCAGAGCGAAGCCAGATCTTCAGTCTCGATTGATTTCTGTTGCCCCCATTTTTAAGGGCCAAGACTGCGGCTATTGGCAATATAGTTTCTGGATTGTAGACAGGACATTTTTCAATGCCACGTTTTCTACGTCCACTACCAACCCACAGCTCTCCATCGGCCAATTCCCAGTGGCCGCTAGGCTTCCTTAAAAGAGAAACAGGAAGTGAATTGGTACAGTTCCCTTTTTTCAAGCTGATCATTTCCTCTGATTTCTGATGATTTGTTTAGCCATTGCATGCTTAGCAAATATTGCCTGAGAAATTATGAAGGCGATTGAAAGCTGGGCAACATGCCTTTTATATCGATTACGAAATATGCAGAGGGAACGGGTCGACAAATCTGGGCGATAGGGATCATATGATCAGGGCAAATACTTATATGTACATTTTCATTGATTGATTGATTGATTGATTGATTGATTGATTGATTGATTGATTGATTGATTGATTGATTGATTGATTGATTGTATATCTTCAGTACTGGGACGTCTCAGCATACTGTCGCGTGCTATCATGTACTATGAAGCACTCCGTGTGTAAAACGGCTGATAGCTGTTGTATTGAGTAAACGAATATGGAATAAAGCTCCTCTATAGATTCATTTTTACAGCGAAATCAGCACCTATTCATTCCCTGGTATGGTGGTCACGGTCTAGTGTATCCGGCTGACTGTTTTCAATTGCCAGCACTCAAGAGTTTAGAAAATATCTGCATGACCCAGAAAAGGGATCAATTCCAGTCTGGCTCGCTAGCTCAATATTTCCTAGAATGGTTAGCAATTCGTGTGATGCCTAATACCTTCGCGATGTAACTGCGCCCTTATTTTCTGGAATGGCTGACACACAGACCGCTAATGCAGGGCGGTTAACAGCAATACTATGTACAACGGCAAGGAATGTGAATATATCAGCATCCTGATTGTTCAAGATCAGCTTTCATATCCAATTCCACTCCAACGAGATATCAACGGGAAATTACACAGATCCGACTCAGTATCTCATGGACGTTTTTGTTAAAGAGGAAATCCTGTGTTTTGTGTCGTGACTGATCGCAAATCCCCGACGCTTCGGAAGGCGCCTACTAGTCATACGTAAGGCACTTTTTTTAAGGAGAAGTTTTCTTATAGTTTAGCGATGTAAGGTCGGGTAGTTTTGCTTCAGATGAAGTTTTAACTTGAAAGAAAGAAAAGATCGAGAATAGCCATCCTGGATCTCGGTATCGCACCCCAGTCTTTGACCTCGGTAAGTCGACCGAACATCCTGGCTCGCTCAGCTGAACACAGATAGATAAGTCTAGCCGAATACCAGTACTTCGCAGCTCGGTGCGTTTCATACATTCCGGGCACAGTTCAATCTTGCTGAGAAATCAGACAGAAAAGTGAGTTTAAAATTTGGCCTGGGGAGCCAAAGCAAAACTTTCGTTCACAGCTGTTTCAATACCGCTCTTACTAAATGTATGTTATCCACAACTAGAGTACAAAGATCTCGACCAATTTGACGAGTGACGTGCGCTCATTTATCGTGGCATTTCTTGCTATCTACTATGTACTCAACAGTCTGCTGTAGTGTTTCAGCGACTGATCCAAAAACCATCCCTGGCTCCGTCCCAAGAGCATTGCATGGTCGGAGGACCTAGCTTGGAGGCAAGATACTCGGTGTCGCATAGATAGACTGACCAATGATGTTATGTTCCGGCCATCCAGAATATGTCTGTGCGCTGCTGAAGCATGGATATAGACCCCCGTAACGATCAGCAAGCTTAAATCTTTGCCTCTATACTGGGCTCCCCGTCTTCAATATTAGCCAATCTAGAGGCCGGGGCATCTCGCTGTCGGCAAACTCGCTTCAATTTTCCACATTTCAAGACCCCGTTTTTGGCACGGTTGGGCTCAGACACACCGACCCCCTTCCTGTCAATTCGGCTTTGCATTGAAGTCTCGGCCGGGAAAAAAGAAGAGAAAGGAAAAAAAAAAGGATCTGCTACGACTTATTGTCCCTTTGAGGTTCCATTCAACAGCAGTCACACCTTATTATACGGGTTGAACCCTTTATACTGTCAGGCCATTCAGCTACAATGTTTGTTATTCTGCTCTGTTGGTGATGAGATTGTTGGTGACTCTTCGAGAGTCGAGACTTTCCCGAACTCCGATCGCGGTAGGATTGGCCTACCATTACATTGACCCCGGAAAGCCAACCGATGCCGTAAACCGCCTGATCTCGTGATCCAGCCTGGATACTACGCTTCCAGAAAGACGGGTGGTTGCTCCGGGTCACCAATATGTTGATGCTACCTCCTGGGGTCTTCATTCTTGAGCTTTGATGCTGACTGCACATTGCAATGGAAATGCCAATATGTGCCCAGGTATACCTACCTGGGTCTTGGCTCTATCTGCTTCGATATTCCAGTGTCCGAGCATATTACATTGCAGTAAACTGTGCATAAATCTAACCTGATCTGTTCCACGCCAACTGTGACCCGCACTGCAACAGATGCTCATACCTTGCTCGCCGTGGGCACAACATCCAGTCCGCCCCTGCACCTGTGACTTGCGTTCAAGATGAAAAGCTTATATCTCCCCCATGTAGAACTTCAGAACCCCTACAATTTCTCTTCCCTCCTCTGCATGCGCCTTTATCCCAGAGAATCGCAGAGACTTCGCCATACGTAGACGTCCTGAGTGGCGGCAGCCATCTTCGAGCCACAACAATGGCAGGGCTCAATCAGCTTCCCGCCGGCGTTGAAGGTGTCGCTGCCTTTTCCTTGATATACTCATCCATTAGCCTGATATGTAGCGGATTGCTGATATGGTGCGCGAGGCTACACCGAGAAACATGGTCCTGTGAGTGGATGCAGCCCCAAGCTCGAATGGCTTCTCAGATCGTGCAGGCTGATATATGGGCACAGATATTTCCCTACTTGCCTACTTTGCACTCATCAGCAACACTGCTTCGATAATTCAGCAGGCATACGACATTTCATTTTATCGAGACCTATTAGCCGGTCAATTCTACAGAAAGACCACTTTCTTGGAAAACCCAGAACTCGCAATTGCCAATGGGTCTTATGGGCTGGACCTGGCCCTCTACTATATCCGTCAGTCAATGAGTTTTACTACTGCACCCTCCAGGATGATGAGCTAATGGACTTGGTTAGAATATTATTCCTACAATGTCGAGTCCATGTTGGTCATGTTCTGGGCATTTGAACTAGCGCAGTCCGTTTATGGATTCAGTGCAAAACCACACCTGAGACAAGTGCTCCGTAGGGTTAATTCAGTGGGCAAGGCAATTGCTATATTCTTTCCTCTCTTGACGATCCTTCTTCTACGAGCCCCGGCCGTACAGAGAGTCTTTGTGGCATTCATACTCCTTGCAGACCTTCCACGTGAGCGACTTCCTGACAACCAGGTATCACTTTCTTTCTACTAATCTGTAGCAGTGATGATAAGCCTGGCTGTTAGTAGCACCACCATGATCGCTATTCTCATCAGATATGTCCAGTCTCGTAAGAAGATTTCAAATTGGACACCCCAAGGGAACGACACCGCAGCTACCACCGAGACATCCGCAGAGACAATCCAGACGACCGAGACAGTAGAGACCGGGAAAAGTAGGAGATCTCAACGAAATCACGGGCTATATGACCGATGGCTCATGGTCAGGTTTACAGTGGCATTCGTTATCTTAGCGTAGGTTTCGAGACGTTGACGCGGGACATAAATCTTATACTGACAACCAGACTAGAGTCTTTGAAGTGACGAATACACTATTTCAGCTTCAATCAGTCAACAACAACAAGAAGGACGCAACACTTACAGAGCCTGACTATAGCGTGGAACGAGCGAGATCAACGTTCTTCCTGTACCTTCCCGGCGTTACCCCTGGAATATTCTTATTTCTGGTATTTGGTACCACTGCAGGTTGTCGTACAGCTATAAAAGGTCTTGTGGTGCCAAGATTTATAAAAAGTAATACAGGTGGTAGGCGTCGCAAGCAAAAGCTCTCAGACGTCGAGGCGGTCGATGTCGCAGAGCCTACCGCAGATCCATTTGCGGACACATCAGCAATCGATGCAAAGGCGGAAGAAGCAGCAAATGATCCGATTCTATCTATTCCCAGGTCGGCTTTGGTCTCCAAGTATAACAGATCATTTGATCGATACAAAGATTCTATCGAGAGTAGAATGCCGATGGGGTCTGAGAGGCAGTGGCTCCAGAAGAAAGATGATGAGTTCGAATCAGAAGGGCCTGATGGGATTGAGCTGCGAGGCAGATCAACGTTGGATGAAATTCGGAAAGATTATTATCAAGCGAGCCCCGAAGAAAGCGATGACTCTGGGCCCGTATTACCCATAATGACTCACCAGCAGCGAAGAATACCTGGAAGCACGAATGGCGCATCTATACCTAGTTCAGATAAAGGCACATCAGCTCATCCTGGCTAGTTGCCGAACAATAAATGCTCCGAAAGACCTGATAACAGTGCTGCGACATGGATGCTGTCAGCCCATTTCATGATAATTGCAGCAGAGCTTGGAGCGCAGATACGTGCACACGTACCCGTCGATTATGACCAAACTCTGACACTTTCACTCATCCTGGAGATCCAATGTTCCTCTTTCTCCGCACTACGAAGGGACATTACTGATGCTATTGGCATGCGTCATGACGATGATATCACTGAGGGGTACATGTCGAATTGAAGCATATCCCAATATATAGATTGTGCGTCTTAAGCTTTTCTGGATAAAACCTAATCGCAAACTAGTTCGAGCATGCCATTGGAATGCTGCAATTGGTTTGTAGCCCACTCGATGGACGAGATCAAATCCCATATATTCCCCTCTTTAATAATCGTTCATCATAATACTCAAACAAGCTCTCAAGTTGTCCGATTTTTCAACCGTCCCAGTAGCTCTGCTTTGGAGTGATTTGAAGTCTCGAGAACAGCTGAAGTAGACGCAGAACAAAGCTTGTGCCTCATCCACTGGAGGATTTATCGTTGGCGCCCACAATCACGACGACTTGAATAAGCAGCAGGATCTAATCAAGAAAAACACCCGTTTGACTGCAATAACCATGATGGCCGTCTGTCAAGAAGCTCATAAGCCCCATGACTTCTCCTTTGGGGCTTCCAGGCACCACAAGCGTCGCATGAGCAACGTTGCTGAACAGGATGGTACTATCGGACCATCTCTCAAGGTACGCCGGGAGTCCGCGTGAAAGTAGATCGACATGCTAAGGTGACCAGTGTCTATTCATGGGTATAGCAGCAGTAAAGCTTGACGACAACAAGGTGGCAGTTTCGCTGGCCGCACACGATACCACATATCTTTTAGACTTCACGGTCGAGCATTTACGACTGAATTCAGACCCTGCAACCACACAAGACGTCATAGCAGACTATGTAATCGATGCAGTACAACGATACGAACATGAGCACTATGTCAAGATGATTGGAGCAGGCGTATCTTCAATCGTGACAGAACTCAGTCCGAAACTCTGTTCACGTCTTTGGCTACAAGTTGATGTGATTCCCCTTGTACTACATCACTATGATAGTACAGAGCGACCATCTTTCTGGGAGGCTAAACAGGTTGATGAACAGGCAGACTCTATGGCTCGGAAATGTGTAATGTTGTCATCACGCTTTCCTCATCTTCAGATCCCGACTCACATGTGCTAGGTGTTTTGGGCCTTCATTTGTGCCTTTGCTCCAGGTGGGATGGCGAGGTGCCGTTCAAGTTGACTCTGCTTTTCGAGTACAGCTGAGTACATCTGCCGACCACCAGAATACAGTGACCAGAGAGACTTGGAGTGCGGTGACTCAATTTGCCAGCAGGCTAAAGCAAATGGGAACCAAGATCGCCTTTTTCAGTGCCACACCACAGGGCGGGGGCGTGGCATTGATGCGACATGCACTTGTGCGATTCTCAAAACTCCTGGATGTTGACTTGACCTGGTATGGTGAGTACAGAAATATGTGCAACTATATACTTGCATGATGAGCTCACTCAGACTGGTAAAGTTCCCAAGCCACGGCCCGGCGTCTTCCGCAGTACCAAGAATAGTAAGCAACTTCCCATGTCACTTCTCCCTTTCCCTGGGTTGTCTCATGAGCACGCATTGCCCAATTTGATACTTCAAGAGAGCGAACTCAGACAAACTGCTCAAAAGAGCTGTCTCAAGCTCAATTGTCTTCCCAAGTAGACAATTGTTAACATATGTTGTTGTAGTGCACAACATTCTCCAGGGAGTCGCCAAGCCTGATCAGCGACTGTCCGACGATGAGAAGGACGCCATCAGAGGCTGGATAACAGACAATGCTAGGCGATACTGGCTTGCCGAAGGCGGACCTCTGCGACCGAGTGCCGAGGGTGGAGCAGATGTCATCGTGGTAAGATGCCCTGAATACATACCACTGTTGAAAGGATTTGGTGTCATATACACGCTAGAATCTAACAATAAGCCCAGATTGATGACCCACAAATGCCTGGTCTCATACCGCTGATCAAAGAGATGACTCCCAACCGACCTGTACTGTACAGATCTCATATTCAAATACGAAGCGACCTCATTGCTCAGGTTGGATCTCCTCAAGAGGATGTTTGGAAGTTTCTGTGGGATGACATTCGCCATGCGGATATGTTTATTAGCCACCCAATCCCACAATTCGTGCCACACAATGTACCTCGCGAGAAGGTTGCCTATATGCCTGCAACTACTGACTGGTATTATGACCAATCATTTCATCACCTGCATATAGCTGACCAGTACAGGCTGGATGGACTGAACAAGCCGATGAACGATTGGGACAGTGGCTATTATGGAAACAACTACAACATCCAGTGCAGAGCACAACAAATGTGAGTTTTACCAATTAGAAAAGCTGAGCATAAACTGATTGAATCGCACTTTAAGGACCGAGCTCGACTACCCAAGTCGTAGGTAGTGCGGTTCACACAGTTCCAACAGATTTACGTCTTTGGTTTTCTGTTTGCATTTTCTTCCCTTTCCCTCTCCCAGTATCACCTACTTTGACTCCAGCACCAGAGATACAACCAGAAACTAATCTCTGAGGGCACAGGAAAATATATTGTCCAGGTTGCACGATTCGATCCCGCTAAGGGAATCTCTACTGTGATTGATGCATATGCCGAATTTCGCAGACGCGCAAAAATATCGGGTCTGAAAGAGATCCCACAGCTCGTGGTGTATGTTTTAATAATATCGCAGTGCGTTGTGTTATTAGACTAATATGATATGTAGCGCAGGAAACTCCTCCATCGATGATCCTGATGGGAACATGATATATGATCACGCTCTTGATCAGATTGAGACTCACTATGCTCATCTTGCTAAGGATATCAGTGTCATGAGATTGGATGCCAACGACCAGCTCCTGAATACTCTTATAGCAAAAGCGCACGTAGTTCTACAGCTCTCTACTCGAGAGGGCTTCGAAGTGAAGGTGTCGGAAGCACTTCACGCCGGACGGCCGGTCATTGCCACTCTTGCCGGAGGCATACCATTGCAGGTTAGTAATCAGTGTTATTGCTTTCCCCATCGGCATGCTATTAGGATAGGATTTAAAGACAGCCTGTTTTGTTTTCGAATGCAAGCCAATGTAAATAGTAATCGGCTTAAGTATGACTTGAAGAGGGTAATTACTGACATGTGTTATGAAACAGGTAAAAGATAACTGCAATGGCTTTCTGGTTGCGCCTGGCGACTACAGCGCGGTGGCACAGCATTTGCTTGAGCTATTTTCCGATCATGCTTTGTGGGAAGATATGAGTACAGCTGCACGGACAGGCGTCAGTGACGAGGTCAGTACACCTGGAAATGCGCTGGCGTGGTATTACCTTGCCATGAAGTGGACCGAGACCTGCAGTCAAAAGCCCAAGGGTACATTGGCAGGTAAGGAGGCATGGGTCAACGATTTGGCTCGGACGGAAGCCAAATGCACTTTTGTAGAAGCTGAAAACCGCCTTCCTCGTTGGTTTACCAATCAGCGCAATGTTCCGCTACTCTCACGAGACAAAAGTCTTGAAAATTACCAAGCCTAATCTACCACCAAATAGACGCCGCTCAGAATCAGTTGCTATACTCACCCTTTACGGGCGCACCGAGATTGATAACCATAGCATCTAAATGGCAGGCTCAACACCTTGACATACCCTGGTGCATACTAGCTGAGCTTGTGTGCCGACCAAAAAGAAAATTGATGTGGTACCTAGATCATCGGGTCTTGGTTAATTGCCCGAATACTTACCCAAGTATCGACAAGTCTCTTCCCGCAATTTCTGAAAGAAAAAAAAAAGAACATGGCGAATAAAAGAACTATATCTGGTTGAGCCTCGGGGTAAGTGAAAATGAGGACCAAGCAGGTACATTTACCGGAAACGTTAAACTGCAGCTGCACACTGCTTAATCTGAGTCTGTGTCCTAATATATAGTACTCTGTATCACATATCAAATGTCGCAAAGTTACGAGCATTGCACAAGTCTCGGGATTGCTGCAAAGGTCCGATGGTGGTATGCATGTCAGCGTGGATAGCGACGAGTGGACGAATGCAATTCGAGATTGAAAGGATCATAAATCTGCCCTTGAACGAGAAAGGGGAATATCAAAACATTAAGAGCTACAATTTTTTTTCCCTCCAGGGAAAAAAAAAAAAACAAAAC